CAGAATGTAATAAGAAAGGGCTTTTGCTGCATCACAAGGTCATAAACAAAGTTGGTGCATGTGTATGACCTCTGGATGGGATCTGATTTCCCTGAGGGTGATCTGCTTTAGGGTTGAGCGATTTGTATAATTTTTCCCACCGCCAATCGTCGGTTCAATAAATAACGATGGGCGATATATTTGTGCATGTGACATCTAGGGCTGAAACGATTCCTCGAGTACCTCGAATAATTCAAGTACAAAAAAGCCTCGAGTCAAATTCTCTGCCTTGAGGCTTCGTTTAATTCATGTTTAATTAATTCATAGCTTTGCAATCGCCCAGGGTCATGTTTCACCCAGACCGAAATAAGTGACGCACATACACACTGCACTGAATGCACACGTGAGTAGCGAATGTAACTTAACTTTCTCTTAAGCCATGGCGGACAAAGTGGACCCCGGCGGAGTGCGAAAAAGACAGAAAATGTCAAAGGTGTAGGACAATTTTTCACTTCGTAAGGCGGAAAACGTAGTCCAGTGTAAATACTGTAACATGGATTTAGCCTACCACGACATCACATCCTCGATGCTGCAGCACCTGACCAGGAAACATCCATATGTAAATGTCACTTCTGCAAGCGGACTCGGAGGTCCGCTATATATTCTGCGGACACCATGCAACTTTTTTGTTTGTAGCACTCAGTTTCAGCTCACACTGTGTGTCTGGTAGCAACACGTCAGACCTAAAAACGTGCTAAAAATAGCAGTTCTTACACAATATGTCAGACTTTTTATTGTGTTGTTATTGATGTCTGTTGTCCCTTGGGATTGCTGCAGGAGGACACGGGTATTTATGAGAGTGGCGGAGGAAAACAAAAGAAAGTAAATACATGTTTTGTGATCAGTATAATTTGACATAGCCACGGCAAACATGCTTTCTCGACAATCCTTGTTATTGTGTGAGAGAAAAAAAGTGTAGAAATTAAACTGGACATGTGTTAATAGGGAAATAGCTGGCGAGCCATGTTTGCACATGCGCCTTGAGCATTTCTGGTGCTGGTAGATTCTCGCACAAGGGTAACATCGGCTCAGGGTGTATACTTATTTTTGGGACAGGCATTTGTTTACTGTGAAGTAGGGTTGTCACGGTAACCGGTGTAGCGGTAAACCCCGGTAAAAAAAGTTGACAATAATAATAACCGTCTTGTTTATAAAAAAATTTATTATCTCGGTGGATTACAGTGGCTGCGGTGTAGGTGCGGTGACCCTTACCAGCCACCGTATCATCTGCTGAAGTTGCCGGTGGCACATGCGCACTTTGTTGTTTACAACCAAAACTTTCTTGAATTCAATTCAATTCAAAAATACTTTTATTAATCCGAGAGGGAAATTGATTGAAGCTAAAGCTGAAATAGTGGCCAAAGGAGGAGATGGCAGCACCCAGGACATTTATTATCGCTCAAAGAAAACAAAGTGGGAAGTATGGGCATTTTTTGGATATTTGAAGAATGCCGACAGACCGTTGAAAGAAGACGGCTATCCTGTTTGCAGCATGTGCAGGAAAAAGTGTCTGCGATGGGTAGCTACGCTTCAAATCTCATGACACATCTGCGTGACCCGTCGTCGTCGTCTTCCTCCGCTTATTCGGGTACGGGTCACGGGGGCAGCATCCCAACTAGGGAGCTCCAGACCGTCCTCTCCTCGGCCATCTCCACCAGCTCCTCCAGCAGGACCCCAAGGCGTTCCCGGAGCAGACTGGAGATGTAACCTCTCCAACGTGTCCTGGGTCGGCCCGGGGGCCTCTTGCCACCAGCACATGCACGAAACACCTCCCCAGGGAGGCGTCCAGGAGGCATCCTGACCAGATGCCCAAACCACCTCAACTGACTCCTTTCGATCCAGAGGAGCAGCGGTTCTACTCTGAGTCCCTCCGGAATGTCTGAGCTCCTCACCCTATCTCTAAAGCCTGATTCATGCTTCTCCGTCAGCTCCGCAAGGAACAGACACGCGCGGATTGACGGAAGCGTTTTGCTCTCATACTCCTCCGTCTCCTGGGGAGTGTTGCAAAGCAATTTCCTGGCAGGACAACAGAGGGCATAGCGCTGTTCTGTGGTATTCTGTCATGTATCGGTCCAAGATGGTGTGTTTATATTGTTTATTTATTTGTATATAAGAGACTTTTTAACACAGACAAATTTGTCTCATCCTCCTCCACCTCTTCATGCGCTCGCCACCTCTTAATCCCACGTTTCCTGTCATTTCCTTCCATAAATAAAACACTTGCAGCGCATCTTTTCACTCCTCCAGTCACGGGGGAATTAAACGTTCATGTTTTTAGTTTTTTTGCGAGGTATTCTTCAAGCTGCTCCGTGCCTGCCGCTAGTTATCCTCGGCTCTCTTTATGTTTTTGAGGGCGCAATGGCGGCGGTGTAGATGATAGCGGCGTCCTGACCAATCACAAGCTTGCGTTGTCTGTCTCGACTGACGGATGTTTAGAAAAGAGAGCTCGACTCCGTCCATCCTTGCGGAACTCTCCAGCAGGCCCGCAAGGACGTTGTGTGTCTCTGCACTGACGCAGACAGAGAAGTATGAATCAGGTTTAAGGCTGAGCCCGGCCACCCTACCCTAATTTCGGCCGCTTGTATCCGCAATCTCATTCTTTCGGTCATTACCCAAAGCTCATGACCATAGGTGAGGATTGGGACGACTCTGGTTCCCCCTCGGAATGCACATAGGTGGGATTGAGGAGCTCCTCAAAGTATTCCTTCCACCGTCCAACTACAGCCCCAGTTGACGTCAGCAGCTCCCCATCCCCACTGTAAACCGTGTGAGCGAGTTGCTGCCTTCCTCTGCTGAGGTGCCGGACAGTTTGCCAGAACCTCTTTGAAGCCGATCGATAGTCTTTCTCCATGGCCTCACCAAACTCCTCCCATTCCCGAGATTTTTCCTCGGCAACTGCCACCGCTGCACCCCGCTTGGTTATCTGGTACCTGTCTCTTGCCTCCGGAGACCCACAGACCAGCCACACCCTGTAGGCCTCTTTCTTCAGCCTGACGGCTCCCCGAACCTCTGGTGTCCACCAGCTGGTACGGGGGTTGCCACCACGACTGGTACCGTCCACCTTTTGACCACAGCTAGCAACAGCCGCCTCAACAATCGCAGAGTGGAACAAGGCCCACTCTGAGTCAATGTCCCCCACTGCTCTCGGGACACGGTCAAAGCTCTGCCGGAGGTGGGAGTTGAAGGCTGTCTTGACAGGTTCTTCTGCCAGGCGTTCCCAGCAGACCCTCACTATGCGTTTGGGTCTGCCAGGTCTACGCAGCATCTTCCCCTGCCATCTGATCCAACTCACCACCAGGTGGAGATCAGTTGACAGCTCCGCTCCTCTCTTCACTCGGGTGTCCAAAACATACGGCCGCAGGTCAGATGATATGACTACAAAGTCTATCATCGACCTGCAACCTAGGCTGCCCTGGTACCAAGTGTATGTCCATCCATCCATTTTTATCCGCTTATCCAGAGTCGGGTCACGGGGCAGTAGCCTAAGTCGAGAGGCCCAGACTTCCCTCTCCCCAGCCACTTGGGCCAGCTCCTCCGGGGGAATCGCAAGGGATGTGTATTGGTGAAATTCTGGCAATACGATATGTATCGGTTCAGTCAGACGTTAGCATTTTTTTTACTCAATTTATTGTAGGAATATTCAATAACCAGTCCAAACTGATACCTAACATGTGTAACATGAGGTACCTGAACCACGATAGAGGGATTTACATTTCAATGGTGGAAACAAAGCCAATTGTACGCTGCTGCTAACTAGCAGTCAGTGTTTCAGTTGCACCAAAAGTAAATTCTTCCAATCGTTAGATACACAGCTTTTTAATATTGATAAAATATCGCTGGAAAAAATATCACTATATATTGCTATATCAATACTTTCTTGCATCCCTAATAACGCCATGACAATCAGCTGACAGTGACATCCGTATATCAATGATTTAAAAAAAAAATCAGTCAATCTGTAGTTCATTACATTGTTTTTTGGGTGATTTATATGTTTAAATGATGCCAAACTCAAGGGAGGAACCATTCTTGTGTTTTGTATCAACTTGTTTTTGACATTTGGTGATTAGCTTTGTGTTTACGTTGAAATAAAGCGTTTACTGCAGAGCTGTTTGGCAGAAGACTTCGTATTGACAATGCATTTTAAGGGTCTGCCCTACTTGTGGTCTTGTGCTTTTGTCAGATCTTTTCTAGAAAAGGACTTTCATCTGAATTAGTTGAAATGTTGGCCGGCTGCTTGTTCTGATCACAGCTTATCCAGGATTTTCCACAGTTTTAAAGGTTGAGAGTTTGGTTGCTTAGAGAATGTAGACTGGAGATGAGTTTGAAACAAAAACAGACGATTTCCACATACAAAAAAAATTGAAAGTCTTCTAGATATCCTTGACCACTTAAGAGTTCTTTAAAATCTAAATCAAAACATTTAGAAGTCTGTGGTGGCTAGTAGGGATGCAACGATACCACTTGATACTTCTACCACACAAAAAAATGCAAAATGAATTGGAATACAGGTTTTATTTTCTTCTGTTTTCAATAGGAAAAGACTGTGAGGTAGATAAAAAGTAATATAAGTGATCACAAAACTAAAATATTAGGTGAACAGAAATGACAAGTTACAGTGAAGTCACTTTCAAGCAACTGCACTGGTATCATTTACTGGTATCTGTTAACTTTTACCAATACCGATACTGGTATCAGTATCTGTATCGGCACCAATACCGATACCAGTATCGTACCGGTGCATCCCTTGTGGCCAGTAGACTTTTGACAATCTTGTTTTTGATGTGATGTGACTGATGCTGTGGTAGTGGAGCTTTTTGGGCTGGTACTGAGTGAGAAATCTTTCAGTTGTGGTATTTTAAAAAGATTTCAAACATGATCTGGTTTCTTTGTTGTTCTTGTTGCACCAAAGCCAATAGGCTTTTATGTTCTCTAACAATAGTGCTGTTCTCTCTCTATAGGCAGTGAGAGCTAAGGAGGATGGCTCACTCTAAAGCTCGAGCCACAGATGGGAAGGTGACCTACCCTCCGGGGGTCAAGGAGATCTCTGACAAAATCTCCAAAGAGGAAATGGTGCGCCGGCTCAAGGTTAGTGTCCCGCTCCCTCTCTGCTGCAGCCTGGTAGCTTAGTCTTCTTTTGCAGATGGTGGGTCAGCATTGTTGGATGTGGTTTAAGTTCAGAACATTGCAGATTTACTCTTTGCTCTGGTAAATGTCCACCTTTTTATTCCCAGATGGTTGTGAAGACCTTCATGGACATGGACCAAGACTCTGAAGAAGAAAAGGAACTTTATCTGAACTTGGCGCTCCACCTGGCTTCAGACTTTTTTCTCAAACACCCAGACAAAGATGTGCGTCTGTTAGTGGCTTGTTGTCTCGCGGATATATTCAGGATCTACGCTCCGGAGGCGCCCTACACCTCTCCAGATAAACTAAAGGTGCGTCGGTACAAGTTCTTTTTTTTTTTTTTTTTTTTTTTTTTAATTCTCTAGTTGATCTGGAGCTCTTAAACACATGTTGACTGGTTCCATTCTGTCTGTAGGACATTTTCATGTTCATAACGAGACAGCTAAAAGGACTGGAGGACACAAAGAGCGCACAGTTCAACAGATACTTCTACCTGCTGGAGGTGTGTGATTGTTGAGGAGTGTTGGGGTTGCTCGCTTGGTTTTAGATTCCTTAAACACATCACTCTAAATCAGCTCTTTATCATTTTCTAGCTTGCTTTTTGTGTTAATCTGCTTTATGACCGTTTGTTTTAATTCTTCATGTCATTCTTTTGATTTATTTATGGGAGTTGGCATCAAAAGGACAAATTTAATCACTGGAGAATCAATCTAGTAATTGAATAATTACTGAGATTGTGATTAAAGAGCTTGTGTCTTAAATGAGTTATTATAGAATCACTTGAACAGTGAGGCTCTAGCTGTACCATTTATTTAACTTATTTTCCCTTTTTTATGGTTACTGAATCAAACGTATTATTGAAGAGATGCTGTTTGTAGTGTTGAATCTATATAATTAACATTTACATCTGTAGCTGCCTTCAGCAATATATAATAAATCAATCAAACCTATTCTTTCACTGTTTAACCTTAAGGTTTACAGTGTATATTCATTTCTACTGCTCCAATAGGAATATATCTGGGTTTAGTGTCTAAATATTTGCATATTTGTAACAGAAATCAGCATTTAAAGACTGTAAATAATGTCAGTTATGTTTAAATTACATCTTGTTTTGTTTAGAGGAAATGTTGGGTTTATGAAAAGCCACCTAATAGGCAGACATGGCTGCATCGATCCTACCGTTTGGTCACTAACGTCCCTCCGCTCTTCATCCAGAACATAGCTTGGGTCAAGTCCTACAACATTTGCTTTGAGCTTGAAGATAGCAACGAGATCTTCACCCAGCTCTACCGAACGCTCTTCCAGGTCATAAAGTAAGTCCTTCATCAGGTGTGTGTGTGTGCGTGCGTGCGCGCGCGTGTGTGTGTGTCTCCAGACGTTTTTGCTCTAGAACAGCTCAGTAGCTGGGTCTGTAGTTTCACTTTGAAGTTCCTCTTTCCTCCCTTCTGTTGTCATCTAACTCCCGTCTCAGTTTCACTCGGCTGAATCCAACCTTGAGGGCTGAATTCTGCAGCACAGAATTTGGCCCACTGCCAGTAGAGGAAAATTGTGGTTGTGTGTGTCCAGATTGTGTCAATACTGCACTTCTTTTTTTTTTTTTTTTACTGCTTGAGGAAAAGAAAAGGGCTGCTTTCCAATTGAAGTTTCATCTGAAGCTTTAGGTAATTGCCTTCCTTATGCTAGTGTGTGGGAAGTGACACTTGGCAGATGCACATCAAGGTGCCTCCTGCTGAAATGCAGATGGTTATGAGTAAGTATTCACACACCCCCTTCAGTCACATTGACTTTCTGTGATTCCTGTTTGTTTTAAAATCCAGTTACAGCCTTTGAAAAGCATAAATGTCTGCAAAACACCAGCTGGCACCACTGACATTAGGAGTTTGATGTGGTAAAATGAGGGATGGGCGTCCTGGTTTTGAAGCAGTATGATGGGATTCAGGAGTTAATATAGGAGCAACCATAGATCAGTGGTAGAGCGGTCACACCCAGACCTGGAAAAAGGAAAACGACATACTTTCCAAATATCCAGAACAGTAACTAATGTTTAAAATGTAACCTTCTTTTGCCTTGTTGTCATAGCAACGGCCACAACCAGAAGGTGCACATGCATATGGTGGACCTGATGAGCTCCATCATCTGTGAGGGAGACACTGTCTCACAGGAGCTGCTGGACACTGTCTTGGTCAACCTGGTCCCTGCGCACAAGGTACGTCTGTGGAGCAGATAGATGAGGCGATCACTGAGTGCAGCCGTATTTACAAACAAGACGTGTGAAAGAACTCCTCAAGTGTATTTGGTCATAATTTTCCAAACTTGTAATTCAGTGAGACCCTTGCAGGTGAAACGAGGTACAGCAGCTCTAGCTTAATGAGTGCAGCACATAAACGTCTTCACCATCATCTCTCTAATGTGGTTTATGTTTGTTCTGATTAGAACTTGAATAAACAAGCCTACGACCTGGCCAAAGCTCTGCTGAAAAGGACCGCTCAAGCTATTGAGCCTTACATCACCAATGTAAGAAGTTCTGTGACAATATTCTGAATTTTTTTACTGTCAGAGCATTTTTATATTTTTGCTGTTTAATCGTGGAAACAAGATAATAAGTGTTCTGCCTTGTTTTCCTTATTTTAATTTTTGTAGACGATGAAAAATAATTAGCTGAATAAGTTGTAAACAAATAAATAAAGAGGTCTTTTATTTTTACGATCCACCTTACACGAGTTCATGCTTTTTGGTGAAATTTAGGTCTTCCTCACAGGCTTTGAAATGAACTGGAGTAGTAATTATTCAGATTGAGAACCCTGGTTTCTGGCTTTATGTAACATTTATTCTCTTTGCTGTTTCTGTACCAGTTCTTCAACCAGGTGCTGATGCTGGGGAAGACATCTGTCAGCGATCTGTCTGAACACGTCTTTGACCTCATTTTGGAACTTTACAACATAGACAGTCACCTGCTGCTCTCTGTTTTGCCGCAACTGGAGTTTAAACTGAAGGTACTGAACAAAACATTTTAAATTTTCCTACACTTTAGCTGAATCTAACATTTAATATATGTTAGTTGAAGACAGGAAATCTAGTTTAGTTTCATAATTTCTGCACACTGAAGCCGCTGCCGTTTGTTCTGAAACGGGTTTGTGAGTTTATTCATGCTGCAAGATAACCTGGATTCTCTGAGCCATTACCCACAGAACTGCATTTGTCCGTTTTCTCTGCAGGTTTGTTGATTCATATAACAAAGATAAAGCATTCAGCATTATGTTCCCTCTGCAGCATCTCATAACGGTGTCCTGCTGATGGATAATGCTCATTAACTGTTCAGAGGGAGCGTAGATCACTGCTGCCTCCACAAAATAATAGCCGTGATAAAATCTCACCGTCTCAGCACACGCTCACTGTCCCCTTTTCCCTCTCACACACATCTTTTCTTATTGTTTCTTTTCTTCTTCCTCTTTTCCCATTTTCTTTTCTGTCATTCCGACTTCGCTGTGGAAACAAGACTAACGTTAATAAAACTGCAGTAATTGCGTGTTATGAGAATGGAAGTCGTTAATGGTGTGGTGCGCCGGTCCAATTGACGCCGCCGCATTTGGTGCTTCATTTGTCTCTCCGTCTGTCTCTTCAAACCCCGTCTCTGCAGAGCAACGATAATGACGAGAGGCTGCAGGTGGTGAAGCTGCTAGCTAAGATGTTTGGAGCCAAGGACTCTGAGTTAGCCGCACAGAACAAACCCCTGTGGCAGTGTTACCTGGGCAGGTGAGTTTCAGACGCTCTTTTGATGTTGACAGACTTTTAAAGGGTTAAGGAAAAGTTCAAAGTCTCCTTATGTGTTTATTGGTCAGTCACTTTGTTTATTATAAGGCTTAGACATATTTGTTTGTATTTTTTGGGAGTTATGTGTTTTACTTCTCTAATGTACTTTGTATCAACTAACTGCCTTATTGTGTAGTTTTGTTCCAAATACTCAAGGATTACTTTGTAACTTCAGTATTCTTTTATCTGATGGGTAATTATCAGTCTTATGAGACCAATGGGTACATTGAAATTGTATCTAACCCTGCATTATATGCTGTTATTAGGGATGTTGGACAATACTATCGGTCTAACGTTAATATCGTCCGAAATCAGCATAAAACTTTGATGTCAGAAAATAATATCGATTTTCAGTCTTATAATGACACAACTTTGATATTCACATATTGTACATAACACTCTTTTGCTACTTCTCCATCTTAAAATGTCAAAATGTAACAGCTCTGAGGTTAAGCTTTGAGATATTTTAGTTTATTTGGCAAAACTAGTAGAAATGTGCCCTCTGTAGTGAACGTGCGCTGTCCTCACAGCACGGAGCTAGGTGTAGCTAGCCCGCTAACAATAAAACAAACACGAGTCTTCACCCAAGACTCGCTTTTCTTATCTCAAGATCTTAATAAATGTTTTATCACCGTAGCTGCAATATGCCGAAAAATAAAAAATACGTTACTAATAAAGGTCGACCGATATAGATTTTTCTATTGCCGCGGCAGATGTTGATCTGTAGGAGACATGGTCAGGCGATGGCTGAAATACTGCTGAACTAAAACAAACTAAAAAGAAAAAGTACTAAAAGATGGCATTAGAATGTCAACACAGCAAGAACACACCAAAGATACTGCTGAATTTTATAGGCTGATATCTAGACCTTTTCCACATAGTTTAACTAACTGTTAAATCTTAACTTTGTGCACTGCTCAGTGTTAAAGTCAGACACCTACATAAAGTTAATTTAGAGTATTTATTATGCAAATGTTATTAGTGAACGTAAAAAAACATTAAAATTAAATTCTGCAACATTACCAAGCTACCTGAGCACGTGCCTGACTTTAATTCAGCTTCACTAAGGACAAATATCAGCTGATGCTGGTATATAAAAAACAGTAAATATCGGCCAACCAATAAATCTGTCAACCCTTAATTACTAACTAATAAAAATATCTCAGAGTCACACTTTGGGAGATTGAGATTCCGCTGCTATTGGACACAAAATAAATAAGGCACTTTTCCTATTATTAACTAAAGTTTAATAAAAGTTTAAGCATGCATTGGAGGAGATAAGTGATGTTAGTAACCTGAAATGTTTTTCTTTTTAATACGAGAGGAGGACACAGCACAGGTCAGCATCGGGAATTAAAAAGCAGGCATTATTGTGTGTGTGTGTGTGTTTGTGTGTGTGTGTGCGTGCGTGCGTGTGTGTGTGTGTGTTTATTGCCAGACTTAAAGTCCATTTTAAAAGAAAATAACATAAAGATAAAAGAAACAATACAAGAAAAACACAAGAAAAGAAAAGATACCAGTTAACATTAATACCAATAAGATCCTATATAAAATCACAGGATATAACTGCAGTGGGCGTAAGGGACAACAAAATTAACTAGTTGTGATAAATCTACCCAAACATTTTGGCCAGTGCATTCTCAGCCTAGACATATAACGAGAGCAGCGCACAGTGGGATTTGAGAGTGCAACTATAATACTACTGGAAGATTCTTCCAGCCGTCTCATAAACTTGAACATTACATTTCTTAAAAATGCCTTAAATGTGCACACTCTCACAGAAACAAACATTTGACAAGCACTTCCTCCCCTAGGAATTTTGAGGAGGATTCTCATTGCATCATTGTATGCCACTTGTAACCTGTGCAAGCTAGACTTTTTATAGAATGACCACAGATGTGCAGTATATAGTGGTGTTCAGTATGCTTTAAATGACGCCACTTTAACAGGTGTGGAACAACAGCAAAATTTCTGTGCAATGGTGTTTGCTTGCACATATAGCTTGCAGCACTACCTGTAAATCTCATCACCGTCGCTCATGTTGGCTGTGATTAAGTGTCCAAGATATTTTATCTTTTCACAGACCGCAAGACTTTTGCTGGACAACTTAAACACAGGAAAATTAAGCCTGGTTCTGTAGATTAGAACAGCACTTTTGCTCGAGTTATATTTTAAATCATATTCCTTTCCATACTCGGTACTAACATCTAGGAGCTGTTGCAGTCCTGCACTACTTGAGCTAAAAACTATGAGGTCATCTGCATACATAAGGTGATTAATCAAAACATCACCTATCAAACAGCCTGTGTTACAAGCTCTCAGGCGTCAAGATATTGTGTAGGGTATCTGTAAAAAAGCCAATAAGGAGCCTCTAGTTGTGATATTAAACGATACAAGAATATTCAACAGATGACTCGAATAACACTAAGTTATGATGCACTGCTGCCATCTGGTTGACAAGTAACCTGTTGGTGTTTCATGCACCACAATCAGTAAATTACATTCTTTTGGGTCAAATCAGCAATTTATTGCAACAAGATTAAATCATAACTGTTAATGCATTAAACACTTTTGTCAAACAACTCCAAAGTGCACGATAATGTCTGACTCACTATTCAAAGCATTGTGTCATTGGCAGAGTGGAGACATCTTGAACAAAAATGGTCTTTTTATGCCCCTGAGGGTCCAATTAATGTAATATAATAGTGTCTCACACCCACAATCTAATATAAAACACAGCTGAAAACCTTCGAAAACTCCTTTTAAATCTTCATGTATTGACGGGTAAAAAGCGCCGCCCCATTTTCTCACATTTGTAGGTTGTTGATTGACGCATCACATGCCTGGTGCTGCTTCCTGAGTCTGCTTCCAGCACATTTCCTGCTAGTTTTAGATTGTGAGCACAGCATATTTGTTTAATTCAGTGATGAAACGCTCCTGTAGACACTAATGAAGGCTGGGAGACATTTCAACGGTTAGATTTTGGTGTTAAAAAAACGACCGCACAGCGAGGAGATAAGTTTCACTTTTGGTTTTACTAACTGGACACTAGGGGGTGCTAAAAGCAAGCCAAAACTGCAAAGTCTCCCTTTAAATAGATGTGAGTTGAATCTTTGCATTCGTCTGATTCAGATTAGTTGTCTTTATTATTCTCTACAGGTTTAATGACATCCATGTGCCGATCAGACTGGAGTGTGTAAAGTTTGCAAGTCATTGTCTCATGAACCACCCGGACTTGGCCAAAGACCTCACAGGTGATTGTCTAAAACATCTGGGCAACTTAAGTGGCTTTTATATTAGTTCTAGTAAAACTCATTCTAGTTTTGTTTTGTCTGTTCTCCAGAATTTTTGAGGGTCCGATCGCATGACCCAGAGGAGGCCATTCGCCATGATGTCATCGTCTCCATAGTAACTGCTGCTAAAAAAGACTTGTCTCTTGTTAATGATGCGTTACTCAACATCGTAAAGGAGAGAACCCTGGATAAGCGAGTAAGTGTGTACCTATTTATAGATTCTATCAACCTGATCATGTGACACGCTAGCTTTGTTTGTTGCTAGTGTTTTTATGTACTCTCACTCCTGCTTAGTGGCGTGTTCGTAAGGAGGCCATGATGGGCCTAGCGTCCATCTACAGGAAGTACTCGCTGCAGGGTGAAGGTGGCAGAGAAGCCTCCAAACAGATCTCGTGGATCAAAGATAAACTGCTTCATATCTACTACCAGAACAGCATTGATGACAGGTCTGTTTATGTTTGGTTTCCATTACATCATCCTGAAATAAACCCAATCTATTCTTCCTTTGTTGAGCCGCCAGAAGGCACATGTGCAACACCACCTGCCCTGCTTTACATTTCTCCACCTGCACATACAATCTAAAACGTTTTGCTTTTATATCCATTTAAAGCTAATATTACTTGATTTTCTTTTTTCTTTCAGGTTGCTGGTGGAGCGGGTTTTTGCTCAGTACATGGTTCCCTTCAACCTGGAAACAACTGAGAGAATGAAGTGTCTTTACTATCTTTACGCTACACTAGACACAAATGCTGTCAAGTAAGTTTTTTTAGTTTTTCACAAAATGCATGGATTTGTCCTTTTTTACCCCGCGTCTATTGTATCTGACCGTGTGTCTCTTGCAGAGCTTTGAATGAGATGTGGAAATGCCAGAACATGTTGAGACACCACGTCAAAGACCTGCTGGACCTGGCGAAGAAACCCAAGGTACCTCAGAGAGACGCTCACCATGTAAAGATGCTTCTTAGCTTTTTCTGTCTTTAATTTGTGGTTTTTGTTCAATTTTGTTTCAGTCTGAAGCGTCTAACAAGGCTGTGTTTGCCAAAGTCATGGTGATCACAAGTAAGGCGTTTCTGTTGACTTATTTAAATCATTTATGCCATCACATGACGGGACTTATAGGATTTGAAATGGTGATCTTATATTGACAAGAGCTTTCTTTGTGTTTCCAGGGAACCTTCCGGACCCGGGAAAAGCGCAAGACTTTGTGAAGAAGCTGGCTCAGGTCCTGGATGATGATGAGCGGATCAGAGATCAGTTAGAGACATTGGTCAGCCCCTCCTGCTCTTGTAAGCAGGCTGAAGTCTGTGTAGTGAGTATTGACATTTTACTTCCCGTTGAAATGTTCTTAAATCCATCGTTTTTACATATGGGCCATTCCCATCTATACCGGGTCGGCCCGGGCCGGGTAGCGTAGGTTGTTTACATATCTGGTTGGCCTGGTATTTTTCCGGGCCAACCAAGGCTCATTCTCAGCCCTCTTCTCGAGGGGGTCTGCTTCAGGCCGACCAGGGCCAACACACCCACTGCTGACAGCAAATTCACACCTTCCATTGGAGCAAGCCTCTGATTGGTGGGTAGAATGAGCCCACATGGGCTTAAGACAAGGATGTGTGGAATCAACCGGGCCAGGCTGGGGCCGACTGGGGCTACCCGGCCCGGGCCGACCCGGTACAGATGGGAATGGCCCATTAGTCCAGTTAGAGGTGTCGGCATATAAATGCAAGGACTTTGTTTCTACATTCTGAGCTGTTGTTCATCGTCTTCGCAGAAAGACATCACTAAAAAGCTCGGCAGCCCCAAACAGCCCAGTAATCCCTTCCTGGAGATGGTAAAGTTCCTGCTGGAGAGGATTGCTCCGGTGCACATCGACACAGAGTCCATCAGGTAGTTGGTGTGGAAACACCTTCACATCCTTCGTTGACTATAAAATGAGTTAAAGAAGTAATCTGGAGTTTTCCCCCTTTAAGGAATAATGTTTTAAAAATCTGTAAAAGTGATAACCTTACCAAGTATTGTGATATAATGTAGGCAAGGTGTCTTTGTTTTCTTTGCTAAGCCCAACTCTGTCCTGTGAAGCCCAATGAAATTTGAATTGAGTTCCAGCCAGCATTAACCAAATAGTGTCAGCCATCCGCTGATGTACAGATGCCAATCACTGAGTGTGCACATACTTTGTGGACGTACCTAGATAGATGCAGAGTTGACAACATTTCTTATAGACAATTAAATGTTTTTTAAAATTACACACATAAATATATATTTACAGTACAGGCCAACAGTTTGGACATACCTTCTCATTCAATGTGTTTTCTTTATTTTCATGGCCACTTACATTAGTAGATTCTCACTGAAGGCATCAAAACTATGAATGAACACGTGGAGTTATGTACTTAACCAAAACAGGTGAAATAACTTAAAATGTATTTTATATCCTATTTTCTTCAAAATAGCCACTCTTTGCCCTGATTGCACATTCTTGGCATTCTCTTGATGAGCTTCAAGAGGTAGTCACCTGAAATGGTTTTCCAACAGTCTTGAAGGAGTTCCCTGAGGTGTTTAGCACTTGTTGGTCCCTTTGTAAATGGTCATGAAAAAAAAAAACACACATTGAATGAGAAAGTGTGTCCAAACTAGGATTGTCACGGTGTGAAAATTTAACCTCACGGTTATTGTGACCAAAATTACCACGGTTTTCGGTATTATCGCTGTATTTTTTTAAACGTGCTACATTTTCAGACAATTAAATAAATCCTGTATATCAGGAAATATTGTCCTCAGTTTGAGTCTAAATTTAGCCTAAAATGTGTTATTTTGTAATTATGTTGTTTATTTGTTTACATTTTTCCCCTTTAGTCTTTAAAATACCAATATTTGCCCATAACTTCTTATTTTATGTCTGTTTGATGTCATCATTTAAAAAATATTAGATCAGATGATACTCAGTACTCAAGTAGCCTTCTAATCAGATACTTTTTCACCCTTACTTGAGTAATAAACCCTATATCAGGAAAATATTGTCCTCGGTTTGTGTTCTTCCAGTGAGCTTTGCAGATGTGGGAAAATGTTATCAGGCAGTAATCATTGTTAAATTCATAATTATTCTCGGAGAGAGACCAACTCTCATCTGCCCCTGGGATCCCCGTAATGCATAGCGTCATTTCAACATGGGGGTGTCCGCGACACGGTTTATATGCAGGTAGCGGCGCTGCGGCTGCTTTATATAGCGACTCGTTGCATTCTCCCTCAACCCAAACCCTCGGATCACGCATTTTAGCTAAAAAGCTAACGTTAGCTTGCCTTGCGTTGACTTTAGGTGGGTGATGGTCACGCAGATGTGTCATGAGATTTGAAGCGTTGCTGCCTTTCACAGACACTTTTTCTGCACGTGCTGCAAACAGGTTAGCCGTCTTCTATAAACTGTCCCTCTGCATTTTTTAAATATTAAAAAAAATGCCCGTACTTCCGACTTTGTCTTCTTTGAGGGATAATAAATGTCCTCCTGAGCGTTGCCGTCTCCTCCTTTGGCCATTATTTCAGCTTTAGCTTCAAGAAAGTTTTGGCTATAAACAACAAAGCGCACATGTGCCGCCGGCAACTTCAGCAGATTATACGGTGGCTGGTAAGGGTCACCGCGCCTACACCGCGGCCACACTAAACCCACCGAGATAATATAGTTTTTTAAAAACAAGACGGTTATTATTATTGTCAACTTTTTTACCGGGGTTTACTGCTACACCGGTTACCGTGACAACCCTAATCCAAACTTTTGGCCTGTACTGTGTGTATATGAATAAACAAGATAAGATGAAAATAATAATTGTAAACAATGTGTTTTAGTGAAGTTGCCCAGTTAGACATGGTTGTTCATGAACAAGAGGCGTGTCCAGCTCCTGTGAGGAAAGTAAAACTCCGGGCTTCTACTTTAGAGTGGCGGAGTGTGTTTTACCTGCTGATAGATATATACCTATATATACCTATATATATACCTATATACCTATATCACTGCGAGCAAGCAGTATTTTTTTGGTCCGATTAAGACCATATGAATGGATGGCCATTAGAACCAAAAACTCTCGGGAGCACAACCTCCAGCAAAAAGACAAGAACATCAGACTCTTTCGGGCTCTCGTAGAAGGAAACACAGCATCTAATATGGCGTCACTCAGAAACTTAGACCTGCTCCCATGTCTTTTGGACCCGATTCTTATGGTTATTTGTTACAACGCTGCCAATAAAAACAGTTTTTGGTCGGCAGTTGGCTGAAGAGTGCTGTCCAATGTGAAGTTGGTTTCAGTTTCAGAAACGGTAACAGAATCACTGAAACCCACTTTTAAGGTGTTAAAAACATTTTAAATGTTGCTTTAAGCTTCAGAGATGATTTCACTGTCACATGACCAAACAAGTACCACATGACCACCCCCTCCCCTCTAGAAACAGATGCACAAACAGCAGCTAGATAAAAATAAACTAATTGGCCTTGTGTGTCTTATCGGACAGATGTCCATGTTAATGCCAAAATGTCCCGGATCCCTAAAATTATCACTAATTCTAGTGATTCATATCATTGATCTCATTTCTATTCCTCCTGTCCTCTCTCATTTAGCGCTCTGATAAAACAAGTTAACAAATCAATTGACGGAACAGCTGATGATGAGGAGGAGGGCGTGCCCACCGAAGAGGCCATTAGAGCCGGACTAGAACTGTTGAAGGTGAACATCTCTGCTTCTAATCATTAAGTTTCATTTTCATTCTTTTGGTTTTTGAAGTAAAACTCTACGAGGACAAACCGATTTTCTAATAAATGCTATTCAGAGTTAATATCTACACTTGTCGTGTTTTATTTGTAAACAACAAACGCTTTATGGTTTTTATTTAAAATGTTCTCAGACACATAATTATGCATGATGCTGCTTTTTGACCTGTTTTTCTTCCCATTCAGGTGCTGTCGTTCACCCACCCGGTCTCTTTCCACTCTGCAGAGACATTCGAGTCTTTGCTGGGCTGTCTAAAAATGGATGATGAGAAGGTGGCTGAGGCGGCGCTGCAGATCTTCAAGAACACCGGCAGCAAGATGGAGGAGAGTTTTCCTCACATCAAATCGTAAGTTGTTTTTTATTTGTATTAGGGCTGCACAATATATTGTAAATATATCGTTATCGCGATATCAGCATGCACAATATGCATATCGCAATGAACGGTCAGCTCAAATGTTTGCTACACATAATTTATTCTGTCAGTCAAACGGAAGCATGATGTTTTTTTTAACAAATCTACTGGAGCTCTTCACCCTTTTGGCCAATTGGGTGGGTTCTCATAGGTCAGATGCCCGCCCCCGAAGCGAATGGCACTTAATTTTGATGGTTAGCAAACACCTGAGTTAGCTTTGCTCTGCCCTTTTTGCTGATTCTGCTTTTCCCGGGATCCACAGATTCCCTTTTTCCATTTTCTTTTTCCCTTTCCTCACATCTTTTGCTTTTCTCATTTTTATGATTTTTTTTTATTATTTTATTCCTGAGTTAAGTTTTTATTTATTGCAAGTAATATCGTCATCGCAATATTAATCACTATTATCGAATATCGCAGGTTTTCCTGATATCGTGCAGCCCAAATTTGTATTTTTTGCAGATTATTGCTTTTTTAATCTTTGAGTTTATAACAGAATAAATATTGTCAAAATTTGTGATTCAGCTTTGCAGTCATGTCGGTCTGCAGGTTCATGAATTGTGCTTTTATTTACTTGTTTTAAATGGTGTTCTTCTGCTGCTCCCCTTAGTGTTTTACTGCCAGTACTACAATCCAAAGCTAAAAGAGGGCCCCCTCGCCAGGCCAAGTACGCCATCCACTGCATCAACGCAATGTTCACTAACAGAGACACCCACTTTGCTCAGATCTTTGAGGTACATTGTCTGATTACTTCTAATCTTAGAAACAATCTCTCACATCTATCAGCCTGAAACAAACTTTCATCTCTCTCAGATGGAGCAGTTTTTAAATAAGGTCTTGTGTTTGTTTGCAGCCTCTACACAAGAGTCTGGACCCTGCTAATCTGGAGCAGCTCATCACTCCTTTGACCACCCTGGGTCATCTGGCCCAGCTGGCCCCAGAACAGTTTGCTGCACCGCTCAAATCTCTCGTCGCCAACTTTATTGTGAAGGATCTCCTCATGAATGACCGAGTGCGAATACGCATCACGTATACCAGATTTAAGATGAGGGAGATTTAGATATTTTTATTTGTTAATGTAAATATATTTCTGTGTTGTTTAGGTCCCTGGCAAGAAGACAACCAAACTTTGGGTACCAGATGAGGAAGTGTCCCCTGAGACTATGGCTAAGGTCAGAACTAAAGCTTCTACTGCTGAAGAGCCACATCGCAGTTAGGGATGCACCGATGGATCGGCATTTGATCCCAATCGGCCGATAGCGCCCCTATCGGTTTTTATCGGAGTTTTCAAAATAAATCAAAGCAGACCGATCAGGTAGGATTGTCACGGTAACCAGTGTAGCGGTAAACCCCGGTAAAAAAGTTGACAATAATAATAACCGTCTTGTTTTTAAAAAATATATATTATCTCAGTGGATTACCGTGGCTGCGGTGTAGGCGCGGTGACCCTTACCAGCCACCGTATCATCTGCTGAAGTTGCCGGCGGCACATGCGCGCTTTGTTGTTTACAGCCAAAACTTTCTTGAAGCTAAAGCTGAAATAATGGTCAAAGGAGGAGACGGCAACGCTCAGGAGGACATTTATTATCCCTCAAAGAAGACAAAGTCGGAAGTACGGGCATCTTTTGGATATTTGAAGAATGCCGAGGGACAGTTGATAGAAGACGGCTATCCTGTTTGCAGCACGTGCAGAAAAAGTGTCTGTGAAAGGCAGCAACGCTTCAAATCTCATGACACATCTGCGTGACCATCACCCACAACTCTACAGTCAACGCAAGGCAAGCTAACGTTAGCGTTTTAGCTAAAATGCGTGATCCAAGGGTTTGGGTTGCGGGAGAATGCAACGAGTCGCTATATAAAGCAGCCGCAGCGCCACTACCTGCATATGAACCGTGTCGCGGACACCCCCATGTTGAAATGACGCTATGCATTACGGGGCTCCCAGGGGCAGATAAGAGTTGGTCTCTCTCCGAGAATAATTATGAATTTAACAATGATTACTGCCTGATGACATTTTCCCACATGTGCAAAGCTCACTGGAAGGACACAAACCGAGGACAATATTTTCCTGATATAGGGTTGATTACTCAAGTAAGGGTAAAAAAGTATCTGATTGGAAGGCTACTTGAGTACTGAGTATCATCTGATCTAATATTTTTAAATGATGACATCAAACAGACATAAAATAAGAAGTTATGGGCAAATATTGGTATTTTAAAGACTAAAGGGGAAAAATGTAAACAAATAACAACATAATTACAAAATAACACATTTTAGGCAAAATTTAGACACAAACTGAGGACAATATTTCCTGACAAACAGGGTTTATTTAATTGTGTGAAAATGTAACACGTTTAAAAAAAATACCGCGATAATACCGAAAACCGTAGTAATTTTGGTCACAATAACCGTGAGGTTAAATTTTCACACCGTCACAACTTTTAATACAGACCATTTTAGATTAGGTTACATTTCCTTTATTCCCAGATTATGTAGCTTGTAGCACTCATTATAATGTTGTAAAAAAATTCTGGCCAATCCACGTGATCGGTATCGGTGATCAGCATTCTTTGATATCGGTATCGGTGATCGGCAGCAAAAAACCTGATCGGTGCATCCCTAATCGCAGTATTGGTTTGCTTTTCTGCATCAGCGGGGAAGAATGGTTCAGTTTGGGTCAGTGATTCACAGGGTATCCGCCGGTCCTTAAAAAGTCTTAAATTTGCTTTTCCAAATTTAAGGCCTTAAAAATCCTTAAAAATTGACAAATGATCCTTAAATACAGTTTCCAAAGGTCTTAAATGACCAAAGAGCCAATAAACAAGATATTTTTATTTCTATAAAATTTTCCTGAATTTCTAGTTAGTGTTCAGCATTTTATGTGTATCATATTGGCGTAAGCGGAACCGTACACATTCAGTTGGTTGTGAAAGGGGGCTATTTTTAGATGAGCACATTAGCTGGTTAAGCTAGTGGGAGCTTGCACCATGGGGAAGTACAAGTTTAATGGTAACTGGATGGCTAATCCCACGTTCGTGACATGGTTAGCACCGGTTTCAGGCAATAGCTGGAAATTATAGCTTAAATGAAATTTTAGAAAATAGCTTAAATTTGGTCAAAGTGGCCTTAAAAAAGGTCTTAAAAAGTCTTAATTTGGCTCCCTTAAACATGCAGATACCCTGGATTCAGTCTGCTAACCCACAGGAAAGAAGTCTGACCTTGCACCCTTCCATCCTTCATTCAGATCCAAGGCATTAAGCTGATGGTGAGGTGGCTGCTGGGAGTTAAAAACAATCAGAGCAAATCAGGCAACTCCACCCTGAGGATGCTGACCGCCATTCTGCACAGTGATGGAGATCTGACTGAGCAGGGCAGGATGGGGTAAGCAAAAATAATTATCTATATTTTAAACATCTTTTTCCTGTCTGTATGAAAACTCAGCTTATTTGTTGGTAAATAAAGACATCTTTGCTTATTTCTGTCGTCTCCTTGTTTCTTAGTAAACCAGACATGTCCAGGCTACGTCTGGCAGCAGCGTGCGCTCTGCTAAAGCTAGCACAAGAACCCTGTTATCACGAAATTGTCACTCTGGAGCAATATCAACTTTGTGCTCTCGTCATCAACGTAAGACTTTCGTTTAAACCCCTTCAAAGTGTTTTTTTTTTTCTGCCCCATTGTCATTCATTAACAAACGTTCCTGCTTTTTTCTCACCATCTTCTCTCCAGGACGAGTGCTACCAGGTGCGACAGTGTTTTGCCCAGAAGCTCCACCGAGGTCTGTGCCGTCTTCGTTTGCCGCTGGAGTACATGGCGATCTTTGCTTTGTGTGCCAAGGACCCCGTGAAGGAGAGGCGGGCTCACGCTCGCCAGTGCCTGGTGAAAAACGTCAACATACGGCGAGAGTATCTGAAACAGCACGCAGCCATCAGTGGTAAAGCTGCAGATTTAAACTGATTTATTTCATTCACTTCGACCGTGTGTAAAGATGACGTTGGTGTAATTATAGTCCATGTGTGTTTGAACAGACAAGCTGTTGTCTCTGCTGCCGGAGTACGTAGTTCCCTACACCATCCACCTTCTGGCACACGACCCAGATTACGTCAAAGTGCAGGACATCGAGCAGCTGAAGGAAATCAAAGAGTAAAATTTCTTGAATGAGACTCGTATTTGACATTTGCAGTAAAGTAAGCTTGATCTTCAATTAAACTTCTGTGGTTTTTAGGGCTCTGTGGTTCGTTTTGGAGATCATCATGGCCAAGAATGAAAACAACAGCCACGCTTTCATCAGAAAAATGGTTGAGAACATCAAGCAGACAAAGGACGCCCAATGCTCCACCGATCCCAAAATTAATGAGGTATTTTGAAGTTTTTCTTGCCGTTCGAGCGAGCTGCTATTCAAAAATACACTATTTAAAGGCCCATCCCCCTTTCTTGAGGTTTCAACCGCTAAGCCACATCACCAGAATACAGGAACACACAGTGCTTCTTTAGAAGGGTTCAGTTTTATGTTTTCGACCCAGTGTTGGCACCTTCATAACTGTATGAAAAAGAAGTATGCTTGCTAGTAAAGTGGTAATTTGTATGGTGAACAACAAGGCAGTTTTTAGCTTTTCTGGTTTATTATTGACTTAAAAATCACAAAACCTCAGTACCACCAAGAATTTGACGAAACCCCACAAACAACAGATCTAAACCTCCAGAGCCCACCCTGAACCTGCTCAAAGTTTCCCTCACTTCTCTCCACTGGATCCTCACACACACACACACACACACATGCTAAGCACATCAGAATCAAGTTTCATCACCTTTCCCCTTTGCTCCTTGCCGCGTTTACGAGACCCACAAATTCGGATTTATCACTCTGTAATGACGCAATGGTCCGTCTTATAAAAGAGGCTTTAGCCTCGTAGTAATATTGCCGCATGAGCCCCTCACCTCTGACGGCTGAACGCGTGTCAGCCCCGCTAATCCTTTTGGAGCGACTGTGGGAGGCCCCCCCGCAAAAGAGGGTGGTCGCGTTAGTGACGTATACTGCGCGCCGAGTGCCGGCCGGAAGGGATATCAACACGGATAAACATGGCCTCTCACTAGTATCTTTCAACCACCTAAAACATGGCAAACTGGACGGATGCGGAGACCATGGAGCTTTTGGCCGTGCGTACGGGAACGGTGAGAGACAGCCAGCTGTTCGATAGAGTGATGAAAACGTTGGCTGAGCGGGGCGTCAAGCGGGACAAAAAGCAGGTCACATCAAAGCTAAAGGTCTTGAAAAAGAAATTTCATCCGTCTGACATTGAATGCGCGACCCTGTACGTCACATGTGGGGGGGCCGCCCAGCGACCTCCCTTTATCCCGTCTTGGTTTGAGAGGTGCCTGATGGCAGTTTATTCTAGTTTCAGCTTTGCTACTATAAATGCCAAAATCCTCCCCAGGGAGCTGCGGCAAATCCCGTTTTGCAAACGCTATGGTCCTGTAAAAACAGCTATAGTAACACACATTTCCTTATCAGAAGAAGAAGAAAATATCATTTCTATAGCGCCTTTCAAGATAAAAATCACAAGGCGCTTCAACAAAAAAAAGTAAAAACATAAAAAAGCATTTAGAAAATGTTTAAAAATATATTTAAAATGAGCAAAAATAGGCAATTGTGATTAAAAAATGTTAAGAAAGAGAGAGAGTGAATAGGGAAGAGGGAAATCAGTGGATCCTGAGGAAGGTGGAATAGGTGGGGAGAGCAGAATAAAGAGAGAGTGGTGAAGAAGGTCATACAAAAGCCAGCTTGAACAGGTGAGTCTTCAGCTGCTTTTTAAAGGAGACCACTGAGTCCACTGATCTCAGGCTCAGGGGGAGAGAGGTCCAGAGTCTGGGGGCCACAGCAGCAAATGATCTGTCACCTTTGGTCTTTAGCCTGGTGCGCTGCACAACCAGTAGGCTTTGATCACTGGACCTCAGGGACCTGCTGGGGGTGTAGGGACTAAGAAGATCACCAATGTAAGATGGTGCTTGTCCATGTAAGGCCCTATAGACCAGAACCAGGATCTTGAAATGAACCCTGAAGTTGACTGGCAGCCAGTGAAGCTGGAGGAGAAGCGTGGTGATGTGGGCGTGTTTGGATGACTTGGTCAGAAGCCGAGCACAGGCATTCTGAACCACCTGTAGACGGTTCAGGGAGGTTCTGCTCAGACACGTGAAAAGAGAGTTACAGTAGTCTAAGCGTGAGGAGATGAAGGAGTGGATAACTGTCTCAAGTTCAGAGTGGGACAGAATGGGACTCAGCTTAGCAATGTTCCTGAGATGGAAGAAGGAAGAGCGAACAAGAGAGCTGACATGAGAATCCAGGGTGAGAACTGGGTCAAAGGTCACGCCAAGATTCCTGACAGAAGGTTTGGTGTGAGAAGCAAGCTGACCAAGAGAGTCTCTGACTTTGGGAACCAGCTTGTCTGGGGCACAGATGAGGTTCTCAGTCTTATCTTCATTCAGCTGAAGAAAGCTCCCAGCCATCCAGGTTTTGATAGAGTCTAAGCAGGTGTGTAACAGCTGCAGCTTAGACATCTCATGGGGCTTAAAGGAGATGTACAGTTGGATGTCATCTGCATAAAGATGGTAGGAGATTCCTTTGAAGGAGCTCAGGATGTGCTAAAGAGGAAGCAGATAGGGGAGGAAGAGCAGAGTTCCTAGCACAGAACCTTGTGGGACACCATGGGTAAGAGAGGTGGTGGAGGACCTAAACTTGGAGACGGCCACAGAAAAGCAGCGCTCAGAAAGATAATAGAACCACTCCAGAGCAGTTCCTGATGGGCCTACCCAGTCTCTCAGCCTCTCCAGTAGCAGGTGATGGTCAACAGTGTCAAAGGCTGCAGTCAGGTCCAGCAGGACCAGAACAGAACAGTCCCCTGCATCTCTTTGAGCATCTTAGGTGTGTTCTTTCTGTGTCGTATCTCTAATTCCATGCTGTAGTTCTTTTTTTAAACACAGAGCAGTTTTGTTTACCTGTTTTCCCGCTACGCTCGTGTTAATTTTGACAGGAAATTTTAATTTTATTTTAGTCTTAGTCTTTTGGCTAAAAATTAATTTTAGTCTTAGTCCAATTTTAGTCATTAGATTTATTTTAGTTTTAGTCCTATTTTAGTCGATGAAAATAACAAGTAATTGTAGTCGATAAAAATAAGCAATTTTAGTCAACAAAATACATATATTTTTTCTAATGAAGTAATTTCCTACTTTTGTATAGAGCACGGAAAAACTAGTAGTGTAATTTAATATACAGGGTCCAAACTCCTAACCACCACTGATCAGATATAGCACACACAGCTAAGAACATAGAACATTTGAATAAAAAAAAACACTTCACATGTTTAACACTTACGTGTTTAATAAAAAACAAAAAGCACACTGGGAATTACAAAGGTGCTCTTTTTAGCATTTGCACAACAAGAATTTTTCAAACTAGCATGCAGAAATACTCAAAAATAAAAATTCCTCCTTTGAGGGCATGCATTTTCCCAGAAACTTTTCACAATAAAATGGTTAACACCCAAAATAAGTACAGGACCTGTTAGCTGTCAGTTACGGGTGTCTTTTTGGTATTTAACACATACAAAAGGCGCACCGGGTTATAAAACGTACCGGTAAAACATCTGTGCGGGCTCGAGACTCGGAACATATCAGTGCAAACCAGACATTGTGAAAATTTTAAACAGTTAAAAGCATGCTTCACTTTACTGGTCTAGTCCTGGTTTAGAGCGCACGTGCACTTCCTCATTGCGCAAAAACGAACGTGTGTGCATGATTGCGCATGCGCCGTGAGCGGTTCTGGTACTTTTTGGGTCGCAGTCGCTCGCTGCACCGCTTCAACTGTGCAATCGTGAGCTCGCACGGACTGCTGGCGTGTTTGATATTTTGCTCGTCCCTCATGACGGCATCGCACAGTTGAAGCGGTGCAGCGAGCAGCTGCGACCCAAAAAGTACCAGAACCGCTCACGGCGCATGCGCAATCATGCATCAACACTGCTCGCCCGCTATTTCCCTAATAACACACGTTGTTCGTTTTTATTTCTACATGTTTTTTTACTCACAAAGATTGTCAAGAAAGCGTGTTTGTCGTGTTCATGTCAAATTAAACTGATCACAAAACACAGATTTACTTTCTTTATTTCGTGTTCCTCATCCAACCCCCATAAATCCTTGTGTGTCCCCCGGCAGCACTCCCGAAGGACAACAGGCAAGACAAAAATGTCTGACGTGTGTAAAAACTGCTATTTTTAGCATATTTTTAGGTCCGACATGTTGCTACCAGACAGACAGTGAGTAGTCAGGTCGCATCCAAGAGCTCCGTACATCTCCGAGCAAACATGGAGAATTTGATTATTATTATGGTAGGCCTAGCGTCACCTCTAAACAAAGCTGACTCTGATTGGTTCTCTTCTCACCTAGTCCTACCTGTTCAATTTGTTGATTGATCCTTTTATTTGCGTCATGCATCTTTCCTGTCTTCTAATTAGATATTCGTCTTCTTGGATTTTCGTCTCGTCTTTCATTCGTTGACTAAAAGTTTCAATCTATTTAATTATCATCTTTTTCCAAGCTTTTCTTTTGAAATTTTGTTTCATTTTCGTCTGTAAATATATTTTCGTGACGAAAAAAAAAGACGAAAATATTTTGTCAACAAAATTAACACTGAACGAAACGTAGCGGGAAAACAGGTAAACAAAACTGCTCTGTGTTTTAAAAAAGAACTACAGCATGGGATTAGGGATATGACTCAGCAAGAACACACCTAAGATGTTCAAAGAAAAATACGGACAAGGAACGAATGTCAGAAGATCCTTTAGGATCAGTATGGAAGCGGTGTTATGATTGAAGACCGTGTTTAGTTAGATTACACGTTACTGAAAAAACTACCTTCCATCAGTAACGTTATTTTAAACACCGTTATTCCCATCGCTGCTGATGTCTAACCAGGTGTTTGTGTAATGTGTTCCTCTTACAGAAACTGTACACCGTGTGTGATGTAGCCATGAACATCATCATGTCAAAGAGCACCACCTACAGCCTGGAGTCCCCAAAAGACCCGGTGCTGCCCTCGCGCTTCTTCACCAAACCAGACAAGGTCGGAGCCTGCACCCAGTTATTTACAACAGGGCTTTGTTCTTTGTTTCCAGCACGTTTGTAACGGCACGAATAACAAATACTAATAAGTCTCTGATCGCTAATTTAAGATTTCTCCATTTCAGAATTTCAGCAACACAAAAAATTATCTCCCGCCTGAGATGAAAGCGTTCTTTACACCAGGAAAGGTGAGCTTTTTGAAACATCTCAGACCAGATCGTGGAATCGGTTTGTCTCGTGTCTAACCGAAACTGAAACCTGCTCCCCTCTCAAGCCCAAGTCAGCCAACGTTTTAGGCGCGGTGAACAAGCCGCTGTCGTCGGCGGGTAAACAGCTGCAGGGTAAAGCCTCTCGCATGGAAACGACCAGCAACAACGACTCCTCGTCCAATCCGGGATCGCCACAACGCAGCAAGGCCAGGTAGAACAAACGAGAACAGCTGATGAATGATCACAATCAGACTCCTATTTAAAATCCCTTTTTCTCCACAGACTCGACAGCACCGAGATGGATCATAGTGAAAACGAAGACTTTGGTCTAAAAAGGTCTGACAGTGTTGACAAGGTATTTAAACCAATACTGACTTTCTACCAATATGTGACTTTGATCATTAAAATATGCCAGATAATTAAGTATTTATGGGATTAAACGTGATTTTTTTTTGTTAAGTAGAATTTGTTGGTTTTTTAATATATTTTATAAGCAAACTCCTTTGTTTTGTTTTTTTAATTAAACTGAAATCTATTAGTTTTATTTTGAAAAGAAGCATCGATGGGATCTGCAGGCTTCTCTTCTGAATGTTGGCAAAGAAATCATAAATGTTAAAAATGTTAGTTTAGTCGTGGGTCGGCACAAATATAGGAAGAGCTTATCTGAAATGACACAGGAGCCTGCCAGGAGAAAAGTGTGTGTTGCTGCGATCCAGCCGAGTGCAGCCAGTCATAAATCCTGGTCGTAGGGTTTGGAGCTGCTGTGCAAACAGCTGGAGTGGAGCCAGGACGAGATTATAAACCCAGATTGTGTAAACGGTCTTTTAACAGCCGCTCCATCTACTGCACTTATCTCTATTTTTATTGTGTTCCTTTTATCGGTAAAATCTAAAACTTTGAGGGATTGATTTGTTACTGGAGGTAAAATTATCAACAAAAGTTATCAAATTTAATCCTGAAATCTTCTCTTTTAGGAAATCGAAAAGCCTCGCGGTCGCAAGCGAGGCGTAGCGTCCAGCGACGACCAGGAGAGCAAACCGAAGCGCGGACGCAAACGGGCGTCCGCCAACACAACTTCAGCGGTGGACTCGGAGGACCAGTGGGATGAGGACGCCCGACCTGAGGATGAACAGAACAGCCCACCGAAGAAAGGCCGTAGAGGACGACCCCCGAAGTCCGCTTCTGCCAACCAGGACACGCCCGCCAAAGGGAGGAGGGGGCGGAAAAAGGCAGCTCCTCCCCCCGAGGAAGAGGAGGAAGAGGAGGAGGAAGAAGAAAGAGGAGACGAGGAGGCAGAAGATGACGACGACGAAGGTGACGACAAGAGCAGTGAAAACATGGAGGTGAAGACTAAGGGAGGACAGCAAGCCAGGGCGCCACGGCGATCACAAGGGTACGAAGAACCGCACAATGGTTTTTACTCTGATTTCACTTTTGGAAGTTTGACTAAAACTTTTGTCTTTGTCCATCAGCTCGGAGTCAACAGAGTCCACGCCACAGAAGAGGAGAGGACGTCCGCCTAAATCAGCTCAACCAGCCGCCAAGAAACCAGCGTAAGGCGCCGTTTATCCCCTCACACCTCTACGTCTGCTCAGTTTGAGTCGTCCTGATTCAGGGTGTCCACTCACTGGTTTTCAGGCGCGGTGGACGATCGAAAGCAGCCGCTGTTAAAGATGACTCTGATGAGGAGGAGGAAGAGGAGGAAGAGGAGCAGGAAGAAGAGCCAACACCAAGGGTATTTTTTAGTTATATTTTAGTGTTAAAAATAAATCTATTAGCTCTGGTTGCATTTTTAGAGCTATCGTAGTTAGCGTTAGCTTAATCGCGTTAACTCGTCCATTATTGCAGACGATCTTTATATCATGCATTAACGCATTTGTTAAACACGAGCGAATCAACGCGATACGAGAAAGGACGTTTTAAACCCGGGGGTGAAAAATTACATTGGAAGAAGACTTTTTTTGTAATGTGAGTTTGCGATAAACTATTTGTAGAACTGCCTGTTTGGCGACCGAACCGTGCACGAAGCTTCAGGCATCTCCGATCGTTCGGTGTGTTCTAGGGCTGCAACCATTCGTCGACGTTGTCGACAAATATCGACAATAGAAATGGGAATTTCATTGTCGACGTTGTCGCCAGACGTGTTTTTTCCGACCGAGTGAGGCATCTCACTTCATTACAATCTCTGCCGAGAGTCGCACATGCGCAATAGTTTCTCTGCTGAGCGCCAACTAACAGAAAGTGTGGCGTCCAACACAGCAGCTACGCGTACCAAAACATCTGGGGAGCATTCTATTCTGGATTTGGCAAATAAAAAGATGACCTGCATTATTTGCATATCACGGCAGCACCTCGCTGACGCTTGAACACTTAAAGAGAAAGCACGTCAGACAGTTGAATGAAACCGAGTCTGACTCACCGAGGTAAGATTTAAATAACACGAAAGCCAATACCTTTTGTTTTGGATGTACATTGTAAATTTTTTTTTAAACGTACTTTCGCTTTTAAAAAAGAGAGATTTAATGTTATGCCCGACTGTGCCTGACAAAAGTATTTTAATTTTATTTATGCATTTATGTCTGTACTGACTGGACACTGTGCCTAATTGGTGTTAGACAGGGCATTTTATCTACTGTTAGTATGAATTGGCCTATCTATCAGCAGCAACGTTCAATAAAATATACATTTTCCATTGAAGTACCCATCTTTCTTGTGTTTATTATCATTTTTCACACAATTAAAGCAATCTCATACTAAATTTGAGAAAATTTTCATAATTATCCGATTAGTCGACTAATCGTTTCAGTAGTCGGTGACTAGTAAACTATTAAAATAGTCGTTAGTTGCAGCCCTAGTGTGTTCCATTATTTCCGTCTGAATGCCCTGAATGGCTGCACTCGGCTTCATATTCTCACTCATCAGAGCAGGAAACATTTATAGAAGTAAGGGTTGCTGCTGTAAAACAGATTTTTTTGTGTCGTTTATGATTAAAACAATTTGTAAGATCTATCCTTAACTTAACTTTTTTATTTTTCTATTCGCTACTGCCTAGTCGGTGTAATAAAAACTCAGGTAGAACCCGGAGGACAAACAAGGAAATGGTGTCAGGCGGACACGAAGGGAACAGGAAGGTAGACACCGGGGTGGAGGAGAACATCCGGTACTTTCTCAATAAAAGACGACGCGCTAGTTAGATTTGTGTTCATCGAAAAAGAACATTCTGGACAATATTTGTCATTTTACTGGATTGTTGCAATAACAAATATGTTTTCTTATAGAATCGGTGTATTTGTCTGCTCATACATGAAAAAGATCACGTTACCGTACTTTTATAATCTGTAATTAATTTGCGATTAATCGCAAGTAAAATGTCTTTTTTTTTTATTTTTATTGTCTTTCAGGGTCGTAAGAAGACAGCAGGACGCAGAAGATGAGCTTTGGAGTAAAATTTAAAAAACAAAACACAACGATTCTTCTGTCGTCAAGGAAACCGTTTCAGGAAAGGAAAAAAAACCCATGAACTTTGAACTTTTTAAACTTTTCATATGCCGATGTTCCCGCTGTTACACACTTGCATTTACCACATGCACACCACATCAGAGCGTCCGCATGGTCAGCTGTGGCTCGTCGCTTCGTGTTGCATTGTGATCATGTTCGCCACGTTAGGTAGAACTCATCTTAACATGAAAAACAAAAACAATATGGTTTGTAAATAGTCTCCTCTGTCTGTTTGTTGTTCTGTTGTTGTGTTTGATGCTGACTGGGGAGGTGCTGTAAAGCCTTTTGGGTTCTGCCGTTATTATTAAAAGCTAAAAAAAAAAAAAGACCGATCACCATCAACTTTTTCTGTGTTAATTGTGTCATTTTACCTTTTATTGGAATGATTTTGTTTACACCTCTGTATATTAAAACATTTCTTCTTCTTTTTTACCATTATTGAAAACTTTAAAAACAAACAAAAAAAAACAATTGTAGAGTTGCTTCTGGTTATGACTGTAGTGTGCATCTGATTTATTTGGTTAGATTTGTACTCACTGCTAGAGGAACGTCGTTTGTGTCACTGCTGGTTAATTTGGCTTCACATCCACCCAGTCAGACCCTCTGTTGTAACAATATAATTCTCTATAAAACCAGACCTGCTCGCTTCCTCTTTATTTGGTTTGAAACGTTTAGTTTTTCAGACTGAAAACAGACGTTCTAGTTCTTCAGATCCAACTGCGGCATCTGTCGGAGTCACGCGCTGTCCTCGGGCTGCCCAGCATCCCTTAATAATCCTCTTCCCGTGCTGTAAATGGGGCTGCTCCTGCTCCACGTCGCTTATGCACAAACGCTCCAGTGCGTCCGATGGAAAAACACTCCCGTGTTCTTCCCGTTTGTGATCCGTGACAGAGCCTGCAGGGCAAATTCGCTAAACGATGAGCAGAGCTGGACGTCTGAGGAGTGGTTTGATTATACACTTTAATAGCACAAACAACATATTTGAACACAGTTGGCTCCAAATATTCAAAAAGTCTAATTAGATGTAAATGACTATGGCCTCTCAGAGAAAGAACCACTTTTTTATTCTAAGACATACCCACCACCTCAGGTATTTATACTGATGCTGTGATAACCTGGAATGGGTTTGTGTTCCCTAGCAACCATCTGACTCATCACATTGTCTCTGATGAGATTAGGAATGTAGATTTAGTTATACATGTTTTGCAGATGGATTAAAGCCATGATCTGTTGATGGGTTCACATTAGAGGCTTTGGCACCTGCTCTCCAGGAGATTAGACTGAGATTAAAGGCTCAATATGAGCAGAATAGAATAAAATAAAGTGATCGTGCCTTATTTTGTCTTTGTGGGAGCCTTAACGTCTTGTGCCCTGAGCCCTTCCTTCGTCAGGTGCTTTGGTTAATGATTGACAGGTTCACAGCTGGCTGCTCGCGCGTCGCAGAGGTCTGGTTAGTCACCAAAAAGCCACCAAGCATGGTGGAGTGTGAGCCAGCTGAGGACCCGGACTTCCACGGCCAGTAAGAAAACCAACCATGAAGGGGTTTGTCGCTGTTCTCACATTTGTGGCCTTCGCTGCTGTTGGCGCAAAGCCCAATGCGGGTCTGAAGACGTGGAGCCGCTTCAGTAAACTTCCCTATCCGGGAGACAAGGCTTTTCTCTACGACACGTTCCCCGGGGACTTCATATGGGCCGTGGGCACAGCGGCGTACCAGGTGGAGGGCGCGTTTGAGAAGGACGGCAAAGGGCTCTCCATCTGGGACACTTTTACGCGCGGAGGGAACCGCATGGCCACCGGGGACGTGGGCAGCGACAGCTACCACAACATCCACGCGGACATCCGGGCCATCCGCCAGCTCGGGGTGACCCACTACAGGTTCTCCTTGTCCTGGTCCAGGATATTTCCGAACGGGACGCGCGGGAGTTATAACGACATCGGCACCAGCTACTACCGGACGCTCATCAGGAGGCTGAAGGAGGTCCGAGTCCAGCCGGTGGTCACGCTTCATCACTGGGACCTGCCCGAGCAGCTGCAGCAGACCCTGGGCGGCTGGAGCAACCCAGAGATCGTGGGGATATTTGAGGATTACGCAGATTTTTGCTTCCATGCGTTTGGGAATGATGTGAAGTTCTGGATCACCATAGATAACCCGTTTGTGGTGGCGCAGTATGGCTACGGAACCGGGGTGGTCGCTCCTGGGATCAAGAACGACCCTGATCTCCCTCTCCGAGTGGGACATAACTTACTTAAAGTGGGTATTGATTTAAAAAATGTGCTGTTTTTTTATTAGTCACAAAAAGTATCTGTTCAAAAATCTAATTTTTTATTCAATTTTCCTTCCATTTAGTATCTTGAAAATAAATTACAAAAAAAATGTTTATTACTATGATTTTTTTCCCATTAAAATAGTAAAAAGCACTAAAATATGGCCAGGGGCGGTTCTACATTTACATTACAGGGGGGCCCGACTGCTTTGTTGGAGAGGTACATCTGTATGAAAAAAAATAATAATAAAAAAATGTGCCTTTAAGTATTTCAAAAATGTGTGTGTAATTCCAACAACATAATAATTCATGGTTGCTTTAGATACAACAGCTTTTCAATACCTTTCCAAATTTAACTATTTTGCAAAACTACATTAACGTCTTGGTAATCTGCATCAGAAAAAACATCAGTGTTTATCTTAACATCTCTTTTCAACTAACCCCAACCCCCATATAATTGCATTCACATGCTTTTTCTCCCCACATCTCATATTAGGCTACATTAACACAAAAAAATCTGCACTTATTCAGCAGGGAGGCCACTGGGGCTCCAATCTTTTCTGTCATTTTCATGCTTTTTTTTCCAAGTAAAAATAACCATTCAGATTTTACAGTGTAATTTATTATGCACACAGAACTTTTTTTTAAACTTTTTGACCTGCATGTAAAAGTTTATTCTTTATGTATCTCTCTTGTCTCTGCTGCAGGCCCATGCAGCTGCATGGCACCTCTACAACCACCGCTATCGGCCTCGGCAGCACGGGAAGGTCTCCATGGCTCTGGCCTCCCACTGGATCAAGCCCAGCCGTACTCGCCTGGAAAGCCTGCGGGAGTGCCAGTGCTCCCTGGACCATGTCCTGGGCTGGTTTGCACAGCCGCTGTTTGTAGATGGAGACTATCCAGCCTGCATGAAGGAGAGGCTGGGTTCACGGCTCCCCTCCTTTACCCAGGAGGAGAGGGAGCAGGTCAGAGGAACAGCTGATTTCTTCGCCCTCTCCCATGGAGCTACCCTGAGCTTCCAACTCATCAACGACAGCCTGAAGTTTGGGCAGCTGGAAGATCTGGACCTGAGGATGCTGCTCTACTGGGTCAACGAAGAGTATGACAAGCCACCCATCTTTGTGATGCAAAGCGGTTGGTAGGTTAGCACACGGACATATCCGTTTTAGTTTGGGTTTGTGTTGAACTTGCGTTTGTTTTCCAGGTATGTCCTCGGTAACACCAAAACGGAAGATCCGAAACAAATGTACTACCTCAAGAGGTTCATTGCAGAGACACTTAAATGTGGGTCCATCGGATTCCACCAAACTCATCGAACTGTCTCGTCAGACGTCTCTGAGGTCAAACTAAAGCCTGTGTGAATGTGTTTGTCGTCCAGCGATCGTCGTTGATGGAGTGAATGTGATTGGATACACAGCCTGGTCCCTGATGGACGGCTTTGAGTGGCACAGAGAGTACGGCATCCGACGTGGACTTTACTACGTCGACTTCAACACTCCTGACATGAAGAGGGAGCCAAAAACGTCCGCCACCTTTTACAGGTACATGTGAGGGCCAACACGTTTTGGTGTCCAAGCAGAAATCCTGAGGTTTCTCTCAGATGGCACCACCCAGAGCATCTCCCTGTTTCTGTAATACTGCTGGAAACGATGCCTCTCATTCGTGAACACACATAGTTACTGTTCTCATGTTATGCTGTTTATTACTTCATAATTTAAAGACTTACTTGTCTATAAAGAAGTTCACCAACTCTGCATCTATTCAACATCCGAGTTGAACGCAGAGACCCTTCTGTTGTTGAAAAGCAGGTCCAAGGTAAATGCTTCACTGCATCTGTACGTAAGCCGATGTCTAATTCTACTGGCTAATGCTAAGCAGCGGTGAAGTGAAACTGCATGGGGCTGTGCGAGATGTGCTTGTAAAAAATGAATAACCGACGTGTTGCCTACATCATATCACAGTAAAGGTTTAGATTGTTTTATTGTGTTTGTGAAGTGCCTTGTGAGTTTCATGTTGAAAGCACTATAAAAAAATCTTTGTTCTTCTAAAAACATCAAACTGACTCAAATTATTTGAACTTAATATTTTTCCTTGATGCTCCTCTTCTTCTTCTTCTTCTTCTTCTTCTTCTGACTGACAAGTGTCAACTATATGAACAAACCAACAGATTATATTTATGTAAATGTTCAAATCCTGTATTTTTTTAATCTCCAATATATATATATATATATATATATATATATATATATTACCATTTTTATACTTTATACAATATTTATACTTTATACTTTATTTTTTTGTTTCTGCAGAAATGTGATTCAGAAAAACGGATTCCCTGAACTTCCAGAAAACAAGCCGGCACAAGGAGTCTTCCCATGTGATTTTGCCTGGGGGGTTTCAGCCAACTCTATACAGGTGTGTGTGTGTGTGTGTGTGTGTGTGTGTGTGTGTGTGTGTGTGTGTGTGTGTGTGTGTGTGTGTGTGTGTGTGTGTGTGTGTGTGTGTGTGTGTGTGTGTGTGTGTTGTGTGTGTGTGTTTGACCAGAGAATAAAACACTTCCTCAGGGTCTTAAGAAAACATTACCTTTGCAATTTCAGAAGAAGATCTGTAACGCTCCCCCTCTTTATCTAATATTGTGTCTAACAGTGTGAATGGGTGAATGACTGATTGTGTTGTAAAGCGCCTTGGGGGGTTTCAAGACTCCAGAAGGCACTATATCAAATGCAGGCAATTTACCATGTTTGTGAGTGTGAAGTTTTCATGGTGAAAGTCCAACTGAGAATCCGGTCGGACGACAGAACGTCTCTTAATAATAAACCACACACAGCTTATCTAACTGTGCACCTCAGATTCATCCTCGTTGGCCTGTGTGTGCGCGCGCCGTCATGAGTGTGTTTTCCTTTTTAATGCCCTTGTGCCTCAGGTGGAGACAGCTCCCACCCAGTTTGCAGACCCTAACATTTACCTCTGGAACATCTCCAACAATGGGGAGCTGATCAAGCTGCAGGGCTTCAGCTCTCCACCTTTGCACCGAGCCACACACTGTGCTGATTACGCCACCGTCCGTCAGCAGGTCAGTCCTCTAAACACTTTTTAGCTCCAGATGCTCCCAAGTTTAAAAACTCACCTGCTTCTTCTCTTTACTTGTTTCAGGTGGATGAAATCAGGCAGGTGGGGGTGAACCACTTCCACTTTTCCCTCAACTGGTCTGCTTTGGTGCCTTCAGGGGACGTGAGTCATCCTAACACCACCCTACTGGGGTACTACCGCTGCTTCACTCATCAGCTCCTATTGGCCAACGTGACCCCGGTGGTGACCCTGTGGCACCACACGCGACAGCGCAGTGGCCTCCCGGCACCACTGGACACTACCAACAGGTGGCTGAACAGGTGGGACTCAGACAGATTATTTTGATTCATCAGCTCATGGTGATGGCATAGCAAAACGCACGCACACACACACATACACACACGTCGAAATTTGACCCATTTCTGTTCTCAGGAAGACCCCAGAGGCCTTTGCTAATTACGCCAGACTCTGCTACAGGGAGCTGGGGGAAAATGTAAAGGTGTGGATCACCTTAAACGAACCCAATGATGAGATGGTGAGCTATCAGGAGGGCCATCAGATGCTGAGGGCACATGCGCTGGCCTGGCACGTGTACGACCGCGAGTTTAGACGTACGCAAGGAGGAAAGGTCTGAAAAACATTACCAGTGGCCTCATTTTAGAAATTCAAGTGGACAACCTTTTGTTAATTTTTTCATGTCTTCCATAATTGCACCTTAAGAACTCTGATGTTGAATTATCAAAAAATAAATAAAAAATCTAAATGCAACACAAATAAATGATTTACTACAAGTGTGGAGGGCCGTTTGTAAAGTAACATTGTCAAATTTTAACAGCAATATTTTGGGTTGTTTAGGCTTTACAATTTTAAATGCCACAGTTTCTAACTAAATATTAAGTCCACAAGATAAATATTCAGTTTAGAGCAAACTTTATATTTTACAAACTATTTAGTTAGCAAACTAAATATTTAAGTCTGACCTAAATATTTATTTAATCTGGAGCCAAATATGTAGCTTGTAAACCAAATATTTAATTTGGAGATAAATATTTAGCTTGTAAAATATTCAATTTTGAGCTAAATGTTTAGTTTGCAAACTAACAAATTTAGTGAAAAAATTTTTGGTACATTTCAAATGAAATATTTAGGCCAGACAAAATATTTATTTTCCAAGCTAAATATTTCATTTGGCACAAAATTAAACTAAAAAAGTATCATTACATTTTTTTTATTCCAAGCCAAATTTAGCATAACTATTTAATTTGGAGATTAATATTTTGTTTAATAACTAAATATTTAAGTCAGACCTAAATATTTAACTTGTAAAATATTCAATTTTTAGCTAAATGTTTAGTTTGCAAACTAACAAATTTTGTTTAAAAAAAATTAGGTACATTTCAAATGAAATATTTAGGCCAGACAAAATATTTATTTTCCAAGCTAAATATTTAATTTGGCACAAAATTAAACTAAAAAAGTATCATTATATATTTTTATTCCAAGCCAAATTTAGTCTAACTATTTAATTTGGAGATTAATATTTTGTTTAATAACTAAATATTTAAGTCAGACCTAAATATTTAACTTGTAAAATATTCAATTTTGAGCTAAATGTTTAGTTTGCAAACTAACAAATTTAGTGAAAAAAATTTTGGTACATTTCAAATGAAATATTTAGGCCAGACAAAATATTTATTTTCCAAGCTAAATATTTAATTTGGCACAAAATTAAACTAAAAAAAGTATCATTACATATTTTTATTCCAAGCCAAATTTAGTCTAACTATTTAATTTGGAGATTAATATTTTGTTTAATAACCAAATATTTAAGTCAGACCTAAATATTTAACTTGTAAAATATTCAATTTTGAGCTAAATGTTTAGTTTGCAAACTAACAAATTTAGTTTAAAAAAAATTAGGTACATTTCAAATGAAATATTTAGGCCAGACAAAATATTTATTTTCCAAGCTAAATATTTAATTTGGCACAAAATTAAACTAAAAAAGTATCATTACATTTTTTTATTCCAAGCCAAATTTAGTCTATTTAATTTGGAGATTAATATTTTGTTTAATAACTAAATATTTAAGTCAGACCTAAATATTTAGTTTGGAATAATAATTACTTAGATCTGACTAAAATATTTTGTTTGCTAACTAAATAATTAGTTTGTAAAAATAAATATGGAGCCTCAAATTAAATTATAATTTTGCTAACTAAATATTTATTTTGGAACTGTGACATTTCTCAGCCTATGAACAACATGGGGAACATATGACTTTGAAAAATGAACCCTGATTTTACTTCTATAATGACAGACTAAACCCAAATGATTGTTGTTAATTTTGACCTGTAATTTTACAAATGGCACCCCATAGCCAACAGGAAGATGACTGATCTCCTGTCTGGGTGGATCTAGGTGTCTCTGGCTCTGCACATGGACTGGGTAGAGCCAGCGTTTTCCTTCAGCCGAGAAGACGTGGAGCCTGCCAAGAGGGTTTTGGACTTCTTTGTTGGCTGGTTTGCAGAACCGATCTTTGGCAGCGGCGATTATCCTGCAGGGATGAGGAGCTGGTTGCGTCAGCTCAACTCACTTGAGTAAATTACAAGTTTTCATTTTGATCAGAGTGCTGAATAAATGTTTCAAAAGGCAGAACCTAGTTTTGCAGCATCACATTTACACACACTCATTTTATTTTCTAACAGGCATAAATGTAACATTTCTGCAGGTTGCCAGTTTTCAATGAGGAGGACAGAAAGCTGGTTAAAGGAGCTTATGACTTTTTTGCTATGAGCCACTTCAGCTCCAAGCTTGTGACTCATGCCAAGGAGGACTCGTGAGAAAAATAATCCTATTTTTGATTTTATTATCCACAGACTGTTTTATTGCCTAGTTTGGGTCAAACGTGATTAACTTTATTGGACCATGAAAAACTATTAGTTTCCTCCATGTGTGTGCAGATACACCTACACAGCGATGCTCGAGGTGCAGCATATGATCGACACCACGTGGATCATGTCTCCGAGGCCCGTTGTGCCCTGGGGTCTGAGGAAAGCCCTGAACTGGGTGAGACCAGAACCGAACCCATGTTCCATGGTACTGTACCCTGATAAAAGCAGCTGATCAGTAACAGAAGCTGACTTTGCTCCCGCTGCGTAAGGTGAAGCAGCACTACAGCGATGTACCGGTCTATGTGATGGCTAACGGGGTCCAGGAAGACCCGGCCCGTTTCAAAGACAGCCTACGAGTTTACTACCTCTACAGCTACGTCAACGAGGCCCTTAAAGGTGAGCCTAGAAAAACAGCTGCTGCAGTTAAAGTTGGCTGAACGTCCCCCTCGCTGGCCTCTGCTGGGTTTAGATGGTTTTTAGGTTACTGACCCCCTGAACAGGCAAAGCAAACACAAATACCGGCAGAAAAATACACTCTGCTCTTGGTTTTTGAGTTGGTGCGACAAACGGGTCTAGATCTCTGTCCTTGTGGAAAGATAAAGGGCAATCTAGGTCAGAGGTCTGCAATCTGTGGCTCTGGAGCCATAAGTGGCCTTTTGGATCTTCTACAGTGGCTTTTTGTAACTTTGGATTGAAAAATAAAAAACTAAAATGTATAGATGAAATAAAAAACATGAGGGTTTAATCAGCTTTTTAGTTTATTCATGGAAAAGCTGCATTGAATTTCCACAACAGGACAGTAAAAGTACTGGCAATATTTTCAGATCTTTTTCTTAACAGAATTTTCAGCCAAAATCAACATCCCATAAAATACCAAGCTCTTTTTCCAATTTTTTTTCCTTAAAAATTAGAAACAAAATCATGTTGTTTTCAAAAATGACTTTTTCATCTTTTAGAGTTGTATATTTTTGTTGGGGGGATTAAAATCCTTCTAATCCCACAAAAAAATCTGATTTCTGAGATTAAAGCCATTTTTTTCCTCAGTGGCCCTTTTCGTCTTCCACAGAAATTTCTCAAAAAACAGAAACTGTCTTCTTTAAAAGGTCCTGTAACAATTGCGGCTCTAAACCAAATTTATCCCGTTGCTTTTTGGATTGTAAAGGTTGCAGACCTCTGGTCTAGACCAGGGGTTCCCAAATTGGGGGTGGGGACCCCCAAGAGGGTCCCCACAAAATTAAAGAGAGTCCCCACAACTTTGTCTTTGCTGAGATTGTGAGGTTAGCAAGAATTTATTTGTAAAAATTACATTTATAAACTCCCAATAACAGACCCTACAGTATAGTTTATAACTCAGTGTGTCTGTATAAAGATGGTAAATAATCACATTTAATGTGTGTATGCATGTAGGAGTTGGGGTTGGGGATCCTGGCTTGTCTTGGACATGAGCAAGGGGGTCCTCAAAAAAAAAAAGACCAGGGGTTCCCAAAGTTGCGGTTGGAACCCCACTGTGGGTCACCGAAAGCTGCACTGAGGGTCTTGAGACGATTTCCAGAAATCAAAACAAAATTGGAAAGTAATTGCTTTATTAGCATAACTGATACAAAAACTCAACTAAATTGTTTTACATGTATAGAAATCGACTGAAGCGGTTTTGCTTATGCCCTAAATTATATAGATTTAAACATGTTTGCTTTGTGAAATCAGATATCTGGGCTTGCATGTCTTGACAATTGCTATTTTGTGGGTCTGCAGCTGAAAAGTTTGGCTCCACGGATCTGAACCCTTGAAACCACAAAGTGACAACAAATAATCCTACCATTAAGGCACCATGACTGTTTTATCTCCACCCACAGCTTACAGTCTGGATGGAGTGAACCTCAAAGGCTACTTCGCCTACGCCCTGAACGACCAAAGGGACCCAGGCTTCGGTTTGTACGGTCAGGTTCACGAAGAGGTCATCGTCAAGGCCTCTCTTTCTAACTATCGTAACATCATCCAACACAACGGCTTTCCCGTCCAGGGGGCTGCTCCCCAGCAGTGTCCCGCTTCACCTCAACCCTGCCTGGGCTGCCGAGTTCTGGCCAAGGGGCCCGTCGTGGCCTTCTTGACTCTGGTTGGTTCAGGAGTTCTGATCACGTTGGGCCTCATTATTTATTACATGACCAAGAGACACAAAGAGTACTACTGACTCAGAAGATGTGAATGTTGGGGTTTAGTTAGTTACCACCATTAAATGTCTTCTGCTATTTTTATTGTGTCCGCTTCAGTAAATGCCACAAGGCCACATAGTACCTGGACTACTAACAAAGGGAATGATCTTTAATTTCTGAAGGAAAAAGCCTAATTTTTTTGCCACATGTTGATGTGGTGTGAAAATATATTTTTCTCCAGGCCTCTTTGCTGTTGGTCAAAAATGTTTAATTTCTGCAATGTTAAAGGTGCACGAAGTAAGAATGACATCTTGTGGTCAAATGTGGGTACTGCAGTCCATGTAAAACAATAGGCCCCGCCCTTCGTGATTTTCATGGCATTTGCCAGTTAAGGATATGAGCACCAGAAGATTCAAGATAACGAGCAAAGATTAATCAAACTCATACGTTGATTAGTAGATAAACATTTCTGTAATATCGAGTTGTTGGTAATTGACAAAGATGCATGAGATTTGTTTAGATTTGTTTTTTCTCTAAATCTCCATTGTTAACTCAACGTTATCCTTCTTTATCTGATATTAGAATAAAGCAAAAAAGATGTTGTGGTTTGCAGCTGAGTGTGAAGCAGCTGGTATGAGAATCAGCTTCTCTAAATCAGACAATGGTCTCGAGTCGGAAAAGGGTAGAATGCCTTCTCCGTGTCAGGGACGAGGCCCTGCCCCGAGTGGAGTAGTTTAAGTATCTCAGGGTCTTGTTCACGAGTGAGGGAAAGATGGAGCGTGAGATCGATAGGCGGATTGGTGCTGCGTCTGCAGTGATGCGGGCGTTGTACCGGTCTGTCGTGGTGAAAAGAGAGGTGAGCCAGAAGGCGAAGCTCTCGATTTACCGGTCGATCTACGTTCCTACCCTCACCTAAGGTCACGAGCTTTGGGTAATGACCAGAAGAATAAGATCACGGATACAAGCAGCCGAAATAAGTTTTCTTCACAGGGTGGCTGGGCTCTTCCTTACAGATAGGGTGAGAAGTTCGGTCATCTGGGAGGGGCTTGGTGTAGACCCGCTGCTCCTCCACATTGAGAGGAGCCAGTTGAGGTGGCTCAGGCAACTTGTTAGGACGCCTCGCTGGTGAGGTTTTCCAGGCACGTTCAACCGGGAGAAGACCAGGACACGCTGGTGGGACTATGTCTCTCGGCTGGCCAGGGAAAACCTTGGGATTCCTCTGGAGGATCTGGCCTAAGTGGCTAGGAAGAGGGAAGTCTGCAACTCCCGTGACCCGACTCCGGATGGATGGATGGATGGAAGGATGGATGGAAGGAAGGAAGGAAGGAAGGAAGGAAGGAAGGAAGGAAGGAGTCGTGGCTCCTTAGGATTACAAGAACCTTTGGGTTGCTCATTTTACTGGCTCCGGTTCTTTCCACAACGCTGCTGCTTTTTGCCGGCTGGTGTCGAATTCCAAATGCCAGCACAGCAGCGTTTGTGTTGAAGACCTTCCAACCCTGGAGGCTCAAAATTGGCCCTGGAACCAGGAAGTATGGAGGTAGAACAGATTTTAAACAGACTATGGTGTTTCCCAATACGCATACTCGTCTGAACGTTGTGAAACGTCATCAACGATCTCTACCCACTGAATCGAGGATGCGTCCTTCTGTTTACTTGGGACAGCCAAGTATCCCATAATGCATCGTGTGGCAAACTGTTATGCTTTGAACAACAGAGAAAGCGCATAACTGTAGTGTTTTAAATCAGAAATGCATGTAAGGAAAGTTATGTTATTGTAAATAAATGTGTGTAACCTGTACAGTTTGTTGCGTTTCACAATCCCTCAAAATGCTAATGCTAAACCCAATGTCAAAATAAAAGCGGTTTTGATGAAAAGCACGTTATTCTTCATTTAACTGCAGGAAATGCTGGTAATTCATGTTTTACTCAAACGTGGACCAAATATTATACAAAAAAAACGTATTTGTTATTTTATTTAAGGGACAAACAACTTTTCTTTATTTTTTTAAGGATGTTTTGTTTAACTGCTTCCTGTTGCCATGACGCAATAGTTTGGTTTTGTTCCAAATGTCGTCCTCGTCCTACCGTAGTCGGTGGAACGGACATCCTGCTGCACTTGCTGAGAGCAGACCTATCAGGTACACAAGAACGTATTGGCGTACTTGGGTATTGAGAAACGGCCCATGTTCCTCTTTGGCCTTTTAAATAGAAAATCTGGCAAAGCCTCGGCCGACTGGGAAGGAAATGTTTCAACATTTCCTTCCAACAAGACTGGCTTGTGATTGTTTCAGTTAAATTGTATTTAAATATTTGGGAAAAGTCCCGTTTCTTTCCTACTGACATTTATTTTTAACCAGACTAATTTGTTGAACTTGTGTTTCATCTTTGCTGCTTTGAGTTAAATGAAGTCCTAGTAAATGATAAAGGACCTTCACAGTCAGAAGACTCCAAAGCGCTTTACACTACCATGTCTCATTCATCCATTCACACAGTAAAACACATTTTTTACTTGGTCATGTCCAAAGAGAAGCAGACTTCATCGTGTTATAAACAATTTATTGTAACTTTCCAGAATGTTTTAATACAAATCCTTGTTTCCCTGCCGGCTTCACCAAAACTCTTCTCCCACAGGTCTTACCAGTTTTAGCACGATGCCGTCAATATGAGCAACAATCCCTGACATGAACCAAAACCACCAACGCACACGTGTGACGGCTGCTCTCTGAAAGTCACGTTGGGCTCGTCAATTCACTTCACAAACATCCAGGTCCATCTGCAGCTCAGAACATCATAGCATCTAGACCGTCCTCCATGAACTTCTTGTACAAGGCCATAAACTTGGCCGTGAAAGCCTCCAGGTGGTAGATGGCTTTGCTGCCCAGCTGCAGTCGGTGTTCATAGTAAGCAGCCAGCTGGGCCACCTCGGTCTTCAGCTGCCCGTCACAGTTACTTAACAGTTCTCTCACCAAACCCTGTTAGATAAAAAAAAAAAAAAAAAAGACTGTTTATCACATTAAAATGAGAAGAATGCTTGTGATGGGAGTGCAGGAGGAGGAGAAAACTGTACCTTCATGATAATATCAGGAGGGATGCAGTGAATCAGCAGCTCGTACAGCCTGGCTCGAACCTCCAACAACCTGGAACACAGACACGAAGGAGTTCTCTGGATTATATACATCTCAGGAGACCTCTTCTACGTTTCCCGCACTCGTACCTCTGGGGATTCTGCTGACTGACAATGGCACTGGCGGTGTCTCTCAGGTAGACCTCCCAGTCCGCCTCCGGGACATCCTGGTCAACCGAGAACGGGTACCTAGAGCAGATCATCGTGTAAATACGCATATATGTTAGCTTTGTGTTTGCTAACATTGATGCATAACAGAGTGGCTGGATCCCCACTCACTGCTGCACTCTGCAGGCCTCACACATCAGCAGGGCTTTGCGGAGGTTACGACCAGACTTCTCACTGATTTGCTTGGCCAGCTCGGGGGGCAGGAGCAGACCCTCCTTTTTACAGACTGATGTCAGAACGCTGCAGACCTGGAAATTAAAGGTACGGAATTAAAGGAGGTTAAAATATTCAACAGAAGTGTTTTAGATCTCCTTACCTCCTCTGTGCTTGGCAGAGGAATTCTGACAGCCAAACAACGGCTTCTGATTGGCTCGATGACTTTAGAGGTGGATGTTGAGCAGAGGATGATGCGGCAGGTCGCCATGTACTTTTCCATCGTGCGGCGCAAAGCGTGCTGAGCATCTTTTGTCAGTCTGTCCACCTCGGTTAGCAAAACCACTGAAAAGGGGGGAAAAATTTACTAATTACTACATTATTGTTACAAACGTCACTTTTCCTCACCTACAACAATTCTTAAGTTACAGTTTTGCCCAAATGGATGTTTGATTCTTCAACCTTTGAAGTTTTTCTGGGTGCTTGACTGGATTTGCTGGGACTGAGCCACGGTTTTAATCAGCTCCTGGATCACCACGCGGTCCTGGTTTCCTGCATCACTGTGCAACACAGAGCAGGAATACTTATCTCAGTTAAACATAGAGCTAAAATTTAAAAATAAACAGTGACAAATGCAGGTGAATAAATACAATAGGCTCTACCTTGCATTGACCTCCAAGTGATAGTTGCTGGCTATTGTGTTAATCTCAATTTTCTTCTTTGATGGAGCCTGTTTAGAATAAAAACCCAGAGATGTTACTGTAAATTCAGATTGTTTAAATGTAAACTCATAAAGTTGGCGTTGCAGGGTATCTGCAGGTTTAAGGGAGCCACATTTAAGACTTTTTAAGACCCTTTTTAAGGCCACTTTGACCAAATTTAAGCTATTTTTTTAATTAAATTTAAGCTATAATTTCCAGCTATTGCCTGGAACCGGTGCTAACCACGTCGCGAACGTAGGATTAGCCATCCAGCTACCATTAAACTTGCACTTCCCCATGGTGCAAGCTCCCACTAGCTTAACCAGCTAATGTGCTCATCTAAAAATAGCCCCCTTTCACAACCAGCTGAGTGTGTACGGGTCCGCTCATGCCATTATCGTACACAAAAAATGCTGAACACCAACTAGAAATTCACGAAAATTTCATAGTAATAAAAGAATTTTGTTTATTGGGTTTTTGGTGATTTAAGACCTTTGGTAACTGCATTTAAGGAATATTTGTCATTTTTAAGGATTTTTAAGGCCTTAAATTTGGAAAAGCAAATTTTTAAGGACCCGCGGATACCCTGCGTTGGTGGCACAGGAGTTAAGTGCTCGCCCTGTAATCGGAAGATTGCAGGTTCGAGCCCCACTCAGTCTGTCACTGTCGTTGTGTCCTTGGGCAAGACACTTAACCCACGTTGCCTGCTGGTGGTGGTCGGAGGGACTGGTGGTGCCTGTGCTAGGCAGCCTCACCTCTGTCAGTGCGCCGCAGGGCAGCTGTGGCTACATTGTAGCTCATCCTCACCAGGGTGTGAATGTGTGTGTGAATGGGTGAATGACTGATAGTGATGTAAAGCGCCTTGAGGGGTTCCAGGACTCTAGAAGATGCTATATCAAATACAGGCCATTTACCATTCAAGTGGGAATGTTATGAGAGATTTGGCTGGAAGGTGACTGGAGGTGATTCTTGTGTTTTATGTTTCTCACCACAACAGTCTGATGCTCAATGCGAAGCTTCTCCACTCCTGGTCCATACAGCTCTCTCAGCAGACACATGATGCGGGTCTTCTTTCCTGCGCCTGACGGGCCGTACACCAACAGGTGTGGGAAGTCGCCACACTGAACCTGGAAAGAGAAATCAGATGTCAGGCTTAAGTTAATCATGTCAATAAATCACAAACACGTGTCAGAAACCACAATTTGGTGTAGCTCTAAAATAAAATGCCACTAACACCAGCCCAATAAAATGATCAACTATTGATTTTAGCCCTAAAATAAACTCTTAAAATACAACCAACCCACAGCTATAGACCGTAACGTGTCTAATTTGGTATTTTAGGTATTAAGGCAAATAAAGCAGGTCTTAAAAATGTTTCACAAACCGAAGTTCCTCCTAAACAAATTAATTACTTTAAAAAAGCTGTTTTACTCGTTTACTTTTGTTTTTAGCTGGACAGAACTCAGAAACTAGCTACTGCATTTATCAGCATGAACTGTCTAGAACACTAAAACCTCGTCAAAATGAATTACCTAGTTAATAAAACCAACAAAAAACAGGAAATCTTTCCTTTCCCAGCTAAACAAGTCTAATTGATTAGTGTTGTTAGCTTAGATAGCGGATAGCGTGAAAGTCCCACCAGGTGTTTCAGCTGAGTCGCTTGTTCTTTGTGAAAGTCTAGTTTTCCGAGGGAAGTCGGTCGATATTTATCCACCCACAAACTCATTGTGTTATAAATTTCTTAAAAATGACCACACGAGCTGACAAAGTGCTTAGCGGTAGTTGAACTCCCGCGAAATACGAACACAGGCGCGCTGCTATACTTCCTGCATCTACGGAAACTCGTAGGAGACAAAAAGGCTCTCTCGGGCAAAAACAACAAAACAGTCTCGAGCGCGACTGGTAAGCAAGTTTGGAATCAAGTCTTCAATGTGATTTAAACCCGCTGAGATACTCGGGGCCCGACTTAGAGTTTTGGTGAGGGAGTCCAGTCTCGTGAAGCGTTTTTATTTTGTGCATTCAGAGGATGACGTAACGTCTCTTCGAGGGATCTGATGGATCGAATGGAGCAGGCAGAGCAGATTATGACGTCATTGCACCAACAAAATTCGATTTATTTGCCTGTTTGATAATTAATGTGCAAGCAAGTTCGGTTATTTTATAACGTATATGTCAAAACAGGCAGAAAATGTAGTTACGTTTACGTACGAAGTGCTGTGTGTTTTGGTTTTGGTCATAGGGTTATGGTATAGGACTTCTTCTGCTGCTATTTCTGCTGTTTAGCTAGCTTATGTTGTTGTTAGCGCCACCTGCTGTTGTGGACTGAGATTGACGGTGAAACATGAGAGGACAGTTCAGGTTGTGGACATTTCTGCCAAGCCAATAACATTTTCTGCTTGCAACCTTTGATAGACTGGGAAGGTGAAATATGCAGTCAAACCTTTCTGTTGTAATTTTATTATTTTTTGTTTATTTTCTTATAAATAAAGAACAATAAACTCCTACTGAATTACAACCAAATCATAAATGGACGCTATGCACAAATTACCTTCCACGGGGACCTAAGAGACCCTAAAAACATGTAAAACCATTTATTTTACAAATTTTTTATGTGTAATAGAAATACTGTTTCCATTAATAAGCTGTCATGTAAATCCTTCATTCTAGTAAATTAGTAAAAAAAAATTATTTAAATGTTTCATGTTGTGTTATTTTTAATTTGATTAAGGGTTCATAATTTCATGAGTTGTTTGAGTAGTAAGGGACGGCCAATGGCTATGTTGTGTATAAATAAGTTTTCAGGCATGTGTAATTGATATGGTGTTGTTATTTCAGTTTAGTTATAGATTCTTTGTTTCCTTTGAGTTGAAATAGGAAGGCAGCCACTTTGTTATTTCTTTGTGTGCAAATGTCATAATCTGACAGATTGGGGTAAGATTTAACACTCCATTCTGAGCATTTTTGATGATGTGATTTTGTTCTTTTAGGTTAAATTTAGACCCAATGGTGCTGATAGTTTATTTTGTCATTTCTGTTGTAATTGTTTAGTTTATGGCACATTACTGGCTCAAAATGAATCCGAAATGAAAAATGTAAAAGCTGCTTACGTTTTCATTTTAATTTGATACTTTTTTAATGTATCATTTTTTAAATCTAGAACAATGTCCATCTGCCCAGACTAATCCATCTTTAAACTTCGGTTTGCCTGGATTATTTATTTTAACAGTCTGAAAATTAACAGACAGGAAATTATGTGAATATGTATAAATATTTCTTTCTTTCCTTTTACTTTTGTGAAATTGCGACATTGTGTACTCTGTTTTTCTAGCTGGTATTAATGCAACTGGGGATGGACAAGAATACACTTTACCCTCAGCCATTCTGATTTTGATTATTCTGACCTGTTGATGTACAAAAAATCAAAGCTGTACAAAAGTGAATAATCAAAATAAACTTTAAATACAATTTAGTCATCATCAAGAAAGTGAAGAGGTGTCTTACTGTTCAATAGACAAAGAGGAATATTTGTGGGAATAACAAATCTCAAAACCTTGTACAAAAAGCAGCGCATTTGTCCTGATGGTCATAAAACAGTACGACCTTGGATCTCTACCTTCATGTGTTTCTCCTAGCCGTGGATGTGACATTTCACCTAACAAACGACAAAAGGAGGACGGTAAACGAACGATAGCATCTTGTAGAGTCTGATACCCAGAAGGAATGTGGGACGGCTAATCTGATGCTGCTAAACAAAAGCATCATATCTCACTGGCAGTTGCATCATGTCATAAAGAACAGGTGTGAGCTGGGATTTGAATCGGTTATGGTTTCCAGTCAGATAAAATTAAAACTCATTCCTTAATAAAAAGTCGTACATTTGTCTCTCAAAACCTGACAGTGAAGTGCAGAATCTACATTTCTGTCCTGCAGCAACCAAGTTAGGGGCTATTTTGGCTCATCTCACGGCAAACACGGGAATGTTTGTTGTCAAAATTAAGATTTGACGTCTTTGTTTTTCAGTCGGTATCAACATTACACATTTTAAGATAAGACAGCTTATACAAATCATGAACGAATGATGCAGAAAGAAAGAGGGTTTTTTGGGTACACTGCAAAAACGATTTCTTAGAAAGTAAATACAAGACTCATATTTAGACATTTTATCTTATTTTTAGTATAAAAAGAAAATAAGTTCTTCCCTAGAAAAATAAAATAAATATTCTTAACTGTGATCCAAAAGCCCTTTTGACGAGACAAACTGTGCCGACAAATCAGTGTAATATTACCGCAACGGTGTGTCATATAAACGCGCCATGCCAGCATGGCGTTGGGTGAATTTTGCGACTTTTGTTCCACCTCGCTTGGTAGTAATACTGCAGTAATCGTCTGTCTCATAAATGGAGATTGTTCCTTGGCAACAGAGGGAGGTGTCATGATCACGTAGGGAGTTACTGCCGAGCTCCAGACGGGGACTACAACTGAAAATGAAAGTAAACGCGCACAATAAGTTTCAGTTTTGTAAACAGGAGCAGCTGTAATGATAAACTGAAGCGACGCAGCGCTCCATGAGCTTCTCTCCCTTGGAGCTGGAGGTCAGATCATCAGAGACTGCACAAGGACTGTGGAAGACTGACACCTTCAGGGGCACCTCCAGAAAATTTTGATGGGGTGGCCAGATGAGGCCAAATAAATGTTTGGGGTGGCACACCAAACTGGTCCTTGTGGTAACTCTGGGAGAGGTTGGTGGCGATGTAGCTCCTTTATTTGTTTTTATTAACAAAAACAGCACGTATCCAAAACATTTCACTTAAATTTTACAAACACAAACATTTCAGAAAAATTGATTTAAGTTATTTCAAATGTTATTTCAACGTAGATTTTCAAGGTTCAAGGTTGTCTTTATTAATCCCCAACGGGGAAATTGAATTGCCTTGGACAAGTAAACACAACATGCACATCCACACAATAAAACATTCACTGGTCCTGATAAAATATAAAAATATCAAATATACAATCATACGAAATGGTCATTGTAAAAACGCACTGCAGCTGGAATAAAAGAGTTCCTAAAACGTTCAGTGGAGCACCGGGGCATTAACATTCGCCCACTGAAAGAGCTCCCGTCCTTAAAAATGTGGTGAAGGGGGTGATCCTCCAGAGTCATAACTGTCTTAAGTTTACGCTTCATCCTTTTGTCGATGATCATGTCAAATGAGTCCAAGCGTTGCCCAACCACTGAGCCAGATTTCTTGATCATTTTGTTGATCCTGTTTTTGTCCTCAGCAGTGAGGCTCCTGCCCCAACACAACACAGCATAAAACAACACACTGGACATAATCCCCTGATAAAACACATTCAAGAGCCTCCTACTTATATCAAAGGATCTTAGCTTCCTAAGAAAAAACAATCTGGACTGGGCCTTTTTAACAACAGCATCACTGTTCCTTTTCCAGTTTAACTTATCGTCGAGGTACACCCCGAGATATTTATATGTCTCCACAGTTTCTACAGGTTGGCCTTTGATGAAAATGGAATCTTTTCATTTAATTCACCTGTTGCTGTGTTCACAAAAAACTATGAAGATAAAAACATTTTTAAAAATCTGATCATTTCTCATTGTATTATTTTAATCTAGTTTTAAAATGTTTTCTTGTAAAATAAGATCAATATATGGTTTGAGTGAGCATTAATATGATTTATTAACACTGGCTTTTGCTGGGGGGCAGCAATTTTCTACCCTGGCCACCCCTTGGGGGCACCATTGAGCAGCTTGATTAAAAAAACGTAATGATCGCGGCTTCAATCGCAAATAAAAGCTATTCATGTCCAAAATAAACAGAAGTCCACTGCAGCGCAGAGACCTCCCCCACACCCACTTTGTGCCGCCATCGCCTAATCTTCTGTAAAAAGGACGCGATTGCTCCACATTACCGCCACGGTCTGACCACTTACAAAACAACCTAAGGCTTCCTGATGCCGCCATAGCATTGCGGCAAATTGACGACATTGTTTAGTAAAAGCAGCTACATTTTCTTGTTTTTAGTAAAAAAAAAATCTGCTAATGGGTTAAGCAGAAGTTGCTCGGCTACAAACCTTAAACCTAGCACACTAGTCTAATTTTATGTTTATCTGATAGTTTTGCTCACCCCATTGGCGGATTCTTTTTTACTCAAAAGAAGAAAATTTGGATCATATTTAAGAACGTTTATCTTATCTTAAGTAATTCTATTTTTCTAGGGAAGAATTTCTCTTTTAGACCAAAAATAAGAACCATTTTCTAAGAGATGGGCTTTTTTACATTCTTAGAAATCAGTTTTTGCAGTGATGCTCTATAAAAACATTTTATTTTTGCTTTGCTTCTGCAGACGTAGTGGACCTAATCAACAGAATAATGCCTTAAGTTCCTATTGTTTCATTATTTATTTGTGTTTTCCTTCCAGAGGACACCTTGTGTTCTTTGCTAATCCCAGCTGAGGCGAGACGTCTCTGTGACAGGAATGTTACACACCAAGCGTGTCCCAGCAGGATGGCCTAGCTTTCATTATATCATATTAATGCAGATCAATCTTCTCAATAAGTAAAAACCTGGAATTCCTCCAGACAAGCTCAAATTGATCAGTTTAAATTTGTTCACAGGCGTCTCTTTTTTCATTTTTAACACAGGACATCCCTCTGTTCTGATATCTGTTCTGTCACAGGACAGGACTCAACAGGCTCGTCTAACAGAGAAATAGCAGGTTTTTCACTCCTGACCAGAGACGTCTCCTTTCCAAAATGTGAAATTGAATGTTTTCTGTTGAACTTGAGGAAGTCCTCAGCCCATTGACAGCTCTGCAGGAGAAACACAATTTGCTTGTTTATTAAAGCTCACGCAGCTTTGTTGCAGCCATAAATGTGTGATCTGGATTCTGTCCACGGGTCATAGAAGTAATTTAAAGCATTACCTCATGCTTTCCGGAGGAATGTGCATGTAAGGTGAAAAAGAAAAATCCGTCGCCCTGAGCAAAGTGTGCAAAGGTGGAACAG